TTTGTGACAGAAGTATTATATATGCATACTATCGCAATGCATACAATACTAAGCAGTTGCAAATCTAAGTAAAATTTTTAATATATTAAATAATTTAACTAGATAATTTAAAATGAAGTTCGTACTCTTATTGTAATAAATAAAATATCAAACTATGTATACATAAATTATAAATATGTTTTATGCATACATTAGAAAATGTAAATACAATTCTCAGAATATACTAATTATTTATTTTTATGCATGAAATATAGTTTTAATTCAATCTAGATTAGTGTAACTGCGTATTCTAATAAACGTCTATCAATCAATAAAATATTTTGAAGTTTATTGATGTGATTTGATTTTTTGTAGTTTTATATAATTTTTTAAATAAATTTATGAAAGGTTTATTTTATTTTATTTATTAAATAATGTGTAAAATTGTATAGATAACTTTTATTCTTATAGAATGAAAAATAATTTTCCCTTTATCCGATTGAAAGTACATTCCTTTGAATTTTGGAATCAATTATTTTTTTAACTTACAAATTATACAATGAGATCAAAAAAATAATGATCTTGAAATTTTTTATGTTATCAGTAGATGATACAAGAATACAAACATAACCCGTGGGGAAAAAAAATGTTTAGTTATAGGAATCTGGGTCAAAAAGCTTTGATGCTATTTGTTGGACAAAAGATTTGTTATTATTTCAAATCATACGATTTTGACTTTATATATCTAAGAAAGTACTGATGAGTTTCATAGACATCGTAACTAGCAGAATTTTGATAAATCATCAACAATTTGACTTGCAAAAAATGTTTTCTTTTTATTTTAATGTCCTGAATATACACACATTTATACATTTTCAAAAGGATTTGTTGGCAATCAAGACATAAGAATGTTCTTTGAAAAGTAACCAAAAATTTTAAAAATTCATTTACGATCTGGATTTTTTTCAAAACATGAATTCAAGAAAAATAATTTGATAATGATTAATATTTGTTAGAAAAATTTTGTTTTATCAAGAAATAAAGTCACAGTTATAAAGAACAATTTAAAGAACTTTGACGAACAACTGAAAAGATTTAAAACTCAGGCAAAATTTGAAAGAAATATAGACATGTGAAAGACTCGAGAAATCTAAATGCACTCAGTAGTCTCAATGTAGATTATCATTCAAATGGTATGTGGAATTTTGAAAACTATTTACTAGGTGTCAGTTTTTTATATAATGTCCATAAAATCTATAATATTTTGAAATACTGAAATTCTAAATCTTTTGATATTTCAAATAGATTGAGGTCATTCAGCAAATAAAAGCAAATAAAGATTGAAAATTATCAAGTTTTTTGATAGTTTCTTTTGGTCACACTATGATAAAATTGTATGATTGAATCAATATGCGGATATCTTTGATATTTAGTAACTCCATGATATAAAACTTCCATGCATAGTTTCATTTGTAGAATGTATGTTGATATGATAATAAAATCTATATTATATTTTGATAAACATTTCTAAATATAAAATAAAATTTTCCATCAACATTTCATCTTTTCAGAGTTGTTTCAACTTGAATAAAAAATGCATCAAAAGCTTTGATGTGTGTGGGTTTGTTGATATACACCTTTAAAAATGACTAATGACACTTTGATCACCTTCTTCTTTTAACTTTAGTAACAAAATTGTAAATATCTATCATTTTACCTCATAAATAGAGTTGTTTTCTTGAAAAATATGTTTGATGCATCAATTTTGATGATATATCTATTCAAAAGTTACTAAGAGTCAAAGCGCCAAATATTAAAAACAACTGAAAAAGTTTGAAAAATTGTACAACAAAAATCTCTAAAGCAGATGTTATACAAGCAGATGTTAATCGTAAGAACAATGTTATACAATGATGTCTTGTTTGAAATAATTCTTTAGATCTTGTTTATGAGTTAAACATTTTGAGATGGGAACTATCATCAAATAAATATGCAAATTAGACTACGCATCCAATAGAAAGATATTTAATCACATTTTAAAATTTTGCAGCAAAACTATATCTGAATATGCTTTAAACAGAAAAAAGAGAGACAAAGAGATGAAATATAATGTTTACGTTTCAACTATTTTATCAAATGAGCAATGCGTTTTATCTCTTTCATATGACATGTTTGGATTTGTGATATGAGCACAGAGTGCAAAAGTGGCAGTATGACTTGTTTCATTTCAGTAGATATATCAATGATTTGACTTTATATGTACGATTACACCAGATGTTCATATGAAGTCACATATCACTGTTATCTTGCATTTAGCATCAGAATTATTTCGTAAGTCATGTATAGAGCACAGTTTCTCTTAATTTGCAAGCAACTTCGAAAAATGTAACTTCTTGAGAGGTTTAAGGTTGAGCTCAGCAAGTATCATTTTGGATCTATCAACTTCTATACGTCGCGATAAACAAGCAAGAGTGCTCGTCGCATGGACGAAATTCGATTTAAGTTTCATGTTTGAGGTGTAAAGAACACCAGACTCTGGAACTAGAACTGTGCATGAGCTCACATGCTTGGCAGTTGAGCTAGAATAATAATCATATAAGCAATCGAGAACGTCGATTGCGCTTCTACTCTGTTCAAAGTTCTTCAACATTATGTTTAGTAAAATTCCAAAGAGCTTACCAGTTTATTCTGAACCTACAAGTTATGTAGAGTTATATAGAAAAAAGAAAGCACAAGAGGCATTGTCAACCAGGCCGACAGCGCATGTGCCACTCAGTTGTCAAAAGCATCCACTTTAGCTTGAATAGATTATAAAAATTCACTTTGAATTTTTATAGATGAACTTTGAAATCTTCTTTGTCAGGTGTCGACATCGTGTGTATCATCACACTGATGCATTCAGTGTGACTCACGTATTCGCTTGCACAACAAAGTCAAGATCTAATTTGACCTTCTAACATCATTGTCCAATCACAGAGTAGGGTGAGCTCTTCGTTGTCAGGTGACGACATGGAGTGTATCATCACACTGATGCATTAAGTGTGACTCACGTATGCTGTGCGCTTGCACAACAAAGTCAAGATCTAGTCTGACCTTGTAACACCATTGTCCAATCACAGAGTAGGGAGTAACAAGCTTTTTGAGTTATAATATTTTCGCTACCTTGATCGCTCACACTTTTCAATGTAAAAACCCGTATGTTTTGGCGGTAACAACGGTGAGAACACAGATCCATACCATAGAACGTGGCAAGTAACCAGATCATGCTGTTTCTGTCGTCTTCTGTACCAAGCGATAAACAAGCAAGCAAGAGTGTTCTTAGCACGATCAAGATTCGAGGACGATTTCATGTTCGTGGTCTAAAGACCTCCAAACTGTGCATGCATTCACATGCTTGACTGCTGGGGTAGAAGAACAATCATACCAGCAGTTGATAACCTCGAGTACTGGTATCCTCTGTACACAGTTCTTCGATATCATAGTTAGTAAATTCCCAAAAAGCTTATCAGTTTTTTCTGAACCTACAAGTTATTTTCAATTATGTAGACACTGCTCTGGGTCAAAAGTAAGAAGAAAAGTACCATGCTTATTACAGCTGACTACGCATGTGCCACTCAGCTGTCAGAACACGTCCACTTGCTCGAATAGATCAAACATCCCAGATAAATTGATTGATAAAGAGGAAATTTGTAATTGACTTTGTCAATGTGACGTCGTCGAATATATCATCACACTGAGGCATTCACCCACGTTTCCTCTTCGCTTGCACAACAAAGTCAAGATCTTCTCTGAGATTCTGACACCGTGTTCCAATCACAGAGTATGAAGGAACACGATTTTTGTGTTCGACTGTTGTCATCACCTTGATCGCTCACACGATTCAAGGTAATGACATCAATTCAATTATGATGATGTATCTACATAATAGTTACCAAGAGTCAAAGCGCCAAATATTAAAAACAACTGAAAAAGCTGAAAAATTCGTACAATCATAATCTCTAAAGCAGATAAAATATGGTAAGAACAATGTGATACTTCCACTCTTATTTAATACTGTCTTGTTTGAAACAATTATTTAGATCGTGTTTATGAGTGAAACATTTTGAGATGGGAACTATCATCAAATAAATATGCAAATTAGACTACGCATCCAATAGAAAGGTATATTAATCACAAATTTTAAATATTGCAGCAAAATTATATCTGAATATGCTTCAAACAGAAAAAAGAGAGACAAAGAGATGAAATAAAATGCTTACGTTTCAACTATTTTATCAAATGAGCAATGCGTTTTATCTCTTTCATATGACATGTTTGGATTTGTGATATGAGCACACGAGTGCAAAAGTGGTAGTATGACTTGTTTCATTTCAGTAAATATATCAATTACTTGACTTTACATGTACGATTACACCAGATCTTCATCTGAAGACATGTATCACTGTTATCTAGCATTTGGCATCAGAATTATTTTTTAAGTCATGTATACAGCACAGTTTCTCTTTATTTGCAAGCAACTTCAAAAAACGTAACTTCTTTAGAGGTTTAACGTTGAGCTCAGCAAGTTCCTGGTTCATGCTGGTTCTATCAACTTGTATACGTCACGATAAACAAGCAAGAGTGATCGTAGCACGGACGAAATTCGATTTCAGTTTCATGTTTGAGGCCTAAAGAACACCAGACTCTGGAACTAGAGCTGTGCACTAACCTCGAGTAATGGTACACAGTATCCTCTGTACCCAGTTCTTCGATATCATAGTTAGTCAATTCCCAAAAAGCTTATCAGTTTTGTATGAACCTACTGTACTGAGTCAAAAGTAAAAAAAAACGTAACATACTTATTACAGCTGACTACGCATGTGTCACTCAGCTGTCAGAACACGTCCACTTGCTCGAATAGATCAAACATCCCAGATGAATGGATTAATAAAGAAGAAATTTGTAATTGAATTTGTCAATGTGACGTCATCGAGTACATCATCACACTGAGGCATTCACCCACGTTTCCTCTCCGCTTGCACAACAAAGTCAAGATTACTCTGAGATTCTAACACCATGTTCCAATCACAGAGTATGAAGGAACACGATTTTTGTGTTCGACTGTTGTCATCACCTTGATCGCTCAAACGATTCAATGACAAGATCTGATTGAAGAGGATGCATGCGTTTTTCCCAAGCTAGCCATCGTAGTGTCTGTCTTCCCGTTGGTCTTCATGTAGCTAGATTCGCAGTCTCCCAGTACAAGTGTACATCCTGTTTTTGCACAACTCAGAGCTCGTCACATCTGAGAAATCTGCTACATCATGCATTCTATGACATTTTGCTTTCACATCGCGCGATCTTTGCTAAGAACTTGATTTCAGATACTCGCTGGTTCGCTCGTCAGACGCAAGGTCCGCTGCCCGCTGCTGCGCTCATCGACGACGACGTTGTTGCGTTCAAAGAGAGGCAGAGCAGAAGAAGAGAGGCCGTGCAAGAGCTCCGACATCTTTGATTTTCTTCTTCCCAGCCAGCGTCGGAAGGCACACGAGGTACTTTGCACAGTTTCTCTTCATTTGCAAGCAACTTCAAAAAATGTAACTTCTTTAGAGGTTTAACGTTGAGCTCAGCAAGTTCCTGGTTCATGCTGGTTCTATCAACTTGTATACGTCACGATAAACAAGCAAGAGTGATCGTAGCACGGACGAAATTCGATTTCAGTTTCATGTTTGAGGCCTAAAGAACACCAGACTCTGGAACTAGAGCTGTGCACTAACCTCGAGTAATGGTACACAGTATCCTCTGTACCCAGTTCTTCGATATCATAGTTAGTCAATTCCCAAAAAGCTTATCAGTTTTGTATGAACCTACTGTTCTGAGTCAAAAGTAAGAAAAAACGTAACATCCTTATTACAGCTGACTACGCATGTGCTACTCTTCTGGCAGAATACGTCCACTTGCTCGAATAGATCAAACATCCCAGATAAATGGAATATTAAAGAAGAAATTTGTAATTTAATTTGTCAATGTGACGTCATCGAGTACATCATCACACTGAGGCATTCACCCACGTTTCCTCTCCGCTTGCACAACAAAGTCAAGATCTACTCTGAGATTCTAACACCATGTTCCAATCACAGAGTTTTGGAACACGATATTTGTGTTCGACTGTTGTCATCACCTTGATCGCTCACACGATTCAATGACAAGATCTGAATTGAAGAGGATGCGTGCTTTTTTCCCAAGCTAGCCATCGTAGTGTCTGTCTTCCCGTTGGTCTTCATGCAGCTAGATTCGCAGTCTCCCAGTACAAGTGTACATCCTGTTTTTGCACAACTCAGAGTTCGTCACATCTGAGAAATCTGCTATATCATGCATTCTATGACATTTTGCTTTCACATCGCGCGATCTTTGCTAAGAACTTGATTTCAGATACTCGCTGGTTCGCTCGTCAGACGCAAGGTCGCTGCCCGCTGCTGCGCTCCAGTCGACGACGACGTTGCTGCGTTCAAAGAGAGGCAGAGCAGAAGAAGAGAGGCCGTGCAAGAGCTCCGACATCTTTGATTTTCTTCTTCCCAGCCAGCGTCAGAAGGCACACGAGGTACTTTGCATCCTTCACTCCGCACAGCGGCAGCGCTCGCTCTGGATAGGGAGAAGAAGGAAGAGAGGAAGAGAAGAGACCTGACTTGACCCAAGCGGAGGACGGAGAGGGCTATCTCTTGTTCACTCAGTTCGGTCACCAGTGCACATCAAACCTCTTTCTCCCAGAGTGGTTCCCGATAGACCTGAAGTCTTTTTTGCCACACGGTCCACGATTTAGATTGTAACCAGAATCCTGGTCTTCTGTGTTAATTTTGATTCCCATCGCTTGTCCCGAGCTCAACTAGACTGCTGCTTTCACTTTGCACAATTTACCTGCGTTCGTGGTGATTGCTCATGATCCTTGTATCGGAAGATCTCGAAGTGATATTTGTTTTGCTATTTGTCCACAGTGCAAGAAGTCTCATGCCCAGCAGACACTACGACGGGAAGAGAAGTTTTCTTCGGGAGAGCCGGCTTTCGGATCGAGGAGAGTGCTCCCTGTAGGCCCGGTTACATTTCGCTCGCGCATGCCAAGCAGCAAACGTTTCTTAATCTCTGAGAGTGGAGGAGAGAAAGGAAGGTGCAGGTGCGTCCATCTTCAGTCACGCTGCTGAACTGGCGACACGGGAAATGGACTCCGCACACGAGGAACCGGAGCTTCCCTCCGCCATCCAGGACCTTGTACAGCGTCTGGAAGGACAAGGCGAGCCTATAACGGAGCTTCCCTATTTAACCAACCCAGAGTTTCGGGAGTTCTTTCCGCTGAAGAAAGCACTCTCTAGAGTCATAGGGTGGCGAAGCCAAGTGCGTCTTCGAGTGCTGGAGGCAATCGGCAGCTGCAACACCTTTGAGATTCTGAACATGGGCAATATTTGTGGGCTATATTTCTCGAGGTTGACGGCAAGCGAGTGGGAGGTAGTTCTCAGCGGTTTCAGGTCTAGCACTGTTCTTAAAAAGATACGAGTTGATTCGTTATACCATTCAGATGATGCGGAAATGGAGAGCTTCTGTTTCCAGCTTGGGAGAATTCTGAATTCCTCTAGCGTAACAGAGTTAGAACTGGGTGGGAGATTGAGTGCCAGATGTCTCTCGAATCTCGCCTCAGGTCTGCGAGGACGTTCCGATTCTAAACTCAAGTCTTTAGATTTAGGGGTAACGTGGGAGGACTCGAGTGCGGTGAAGTATGTGGCTGACATGATCAATAGTGCTCCTCTATTAGAAACGTTGCGTTTAGGCGGCAATTTTGAGGACATGGAGGCGAGACCGTTGGACGAGACCGTTGGAATCCTGTCCCAGGCTTTGATCCAGAGCTCGTCTCTGAAAGAATTGACCTTAACCACGGGGGATTGGACCGTAAAAGGCAGGGGGAAGTGGGCATGGCCCTTGTTGCTGAAAGCATTGACCGGAGATGATCGCAACCGATCCATTGAACGTCTTCGGCTAACGCGTATGGAAGGACTCGGAGACTGTTTAAGGGAACTTCTTATTTCCAACCCATCATTGAAGGAAGTGACGTTGGAATTCTTGAAGATGAGGAGTCCTGAGCAATGGCACCAGCTCGGCGAAGCCATACGTGACAATGCCAATGCCATAGCGACAACTATACTTGTTAGGTTTCGTGGTGAAGAATGGAAGTCAATAGAAGCTCTTGCTCGTTCTGCTAGCTCCGAAGTCAACGACCCCACTCTGGAGATTACACTCCATGTTGTGAGTGAAGATGAAGTGATGTTATCATTAAACCTATTAGGTAGGGTACTGCGAGGGGAAATCACATCTCTGAAATCTCTGAGTATATCTCGAGACGAAGATGATAGAAAGATTATCACGTTCAGTATACCCCCTATGAATGGAAAAAGTGGAGAAACTTCAGTCCTGAAGAGACTGGAATTATCTGTCCGAAGCGAAGATATTTCGAAGGGAGTATGGGAGGACCTGCTTCGGTGCATGCGAGGGAACCACCTCACTCACTTGGATTTGTCAGACTCCGAAGTCGACGAGAAGGCGTTCAGGGACGTGATGGGGGTACTGCAAGTTAACTTGGCTCTCCAAGAAATCGACGTCTCACGAACATCATGGGCAACGGACGGAAAGGCGGCGCAGATTCAAGAGGCCCTGAAGCAGAATCAAAAGCGAGCCGTCTACATGTCAGTGTTCCGAGAAGCCAAGTTAACATTTGGAGATGCAAAAGCTGGTCGACTCTTCTTATGCGGCTCTCCTAGAGCAGGTAACAGGCGTTGTATATTCTCAGTTTTGTAGTCAATGTAGGCCAACTAGCAATCTATGGTTTAACTTTTCTAAATTCAAAATTGACACAACAAATGCTATATTGATCTATATATAATAATGTGTGTATACAATAAGTAACGAAAAGGAGAAAAAATCAAATGTGTAAATCATTAATTATATAACTTCAATTACTTTGGTGATTCTACATTTTTCAATCAAATTTATCTTCACATATGAAAATAATATCATGTCATATTGTATGTCAATAATATCAATTCAAAGCATCGTTAATAACAAGTTGTGTATTTTGTGCTTTTGTTTTCTACCGTGCAGGAAAAACTCAATTGCGTAAAACCCTGATGAGGATCAATCATAGTTGGCTACACAGAAGCAGTCTATACAATAAATGGGACGTATTGTGGAGGACCAAAGGCATCGAAGTGGAGTATTTGCAAAATAATGACAAAATGCAAATCTCAATTTGGGATCTGGCGGGACAATGGATTTTTCGTACCCTTCAGAATGTGCTCTTTCCTCAAACCAACAATTTTTGTGTTTTTCTTTTTGTGTATAGCCCTTTCTGTGAGGAAACATCTAAAAACAAACCAGACTCTTGTTTCAAAACTGAGCTAGAGGATTGGTTAAGCTTCATCACATCCAGCGTTAAGATCACGGGACGTGATCTTCCCCAAGTTTTTGTTGTCATTTCACACAAAGATAAAGCCACATACAGCTCTGTGAGTTGGACTCAGTCCATAATTGAAGAACTCACCCAAAGATTTGCAAATTTTGTGAATCTTCTTCCTGTTCAAGAGTGTTTTCACGTGGATTCTAGGAAGAAAAAACAAATTATTCCTCTCAACAGTCACATTTTTGAGAATTTTAACAAGTTGTTGAGTGAAAAATCTCCACAGGTTCCTCTTTTGTGTTCTCAACTCACCTTCCTCTTAGTTACAAAAACCAAGAAGAATAGAAGTTTCCCTCTGTGGTCATCCAAAAAATTTCATGATTTCTGTGCTCCCAGTTTCACACAATTTGTTCCATCATCTCATGCTCACTCTGTTGATCATTCAAGTATAATGAAGTCCATCATATCCTACTTGAATGATGTTGGATCTATAGTATACATTCCTAATGTTAAGTATATCATTGTAGATCCCAACTGGCTCACCAATACCTTCCTGGGTGAGCTGATAGCTTTGGGTCAAAATTTTCAAGCTCAAGAGTCAGAGCCTTCTAATAGAACAAGTTCATATGCAAGCAAGGACGGATTTGTGAGTGAGAGTGTTTTTGCTCGGTTGATAGAAGAATTTTTGAGAAACCAACCCCATGGACAGAGAGGTGTGGGAAGAGTGGAGCTTGAAAACATCCTTGTCAATTTAGATTTGTGTTTCAAGCTCGAAGATAGTTCTCAGTATTTCATTCCTTCCTTCATCCCTGAGCATGCAAGCAAGGAAGAACAGGATCATCAAGAAGCGGGGCACGTGAAGTCGATGTATTGGGAAAATAGAAGTGAGACTTCACAATTTGTCGGCATTCGGATTGAATGCCAAGACGGAAGAACAATGTCATTGAGGGCTGCGTTTTTTCCACGCTTCCAGGTGAGGTTGAATTATGCTTTCACACACACACAGATAAATCGTTGTAAGTGTCAACTTTTGTTTGTAATTAGTGTATGATGAAGCAAATGTTTCCTTTTTATTAACTGCGACAAATAATTTGAATGTCCCACTAGAGATTTACCAAATTTTGTATGATTGTAGATGTTCATGAGACGCAAGTTGAAATCCGAGATGCATGTTTCCGAGGAGAATATTACCTGCTCTCGACATTATCTGCGACTTTTCCTTGACGGGCATGAGATATATATCGAGCATGTTCAGAGTGAAAAGTCCCACAAATACGTAGATATTTTGATGTTATGCTCGAGGCATAAGTCAAGGGAGGTGGCTACTAAATATGTGATGAGGCATATTGTCCAGGAGTTGATATCATTTTGCGCATCACCAAAAGGCTGTCCCGGGGTGGCATTAGTGCTAGGTGTGATCCAAACATTTTGTGTGGAGATGCTGATTCCAAGTCATCTTAGAGGAGCCATTTTGATCGAGAAGCTAAAATCGGAATTCATTTGTAGCATCAATAACAAACTTGAGGAAATGCCGTTGGAAAGGTTGCACTTGATGGAGAAGGAAGAGTTGTTCGACTATGAGCACTGTTGGCCCCGGATAGAAGGGCACATTGGCGGAAGATCCGAACTGGTTAGAGATTTGTTGTGGGAGAGCGATGTGGAAGCAGTTGTGAACGAGATTCGACAGAAACGAATTGAAGAATTGAAGTCATTGCAGGAATGTCTAATTAGCGTGGACAATGATTTGGCTCAGTGTTATCCTGAAGCTGAAAACATGGTTAGCGACTTGAATTTCCCCCCAATGAAGGACCCCAAACCACTCACATCCAGGTGCTTGAGTCGTGCCAGCACAAGTGTGGAGAATCCAAGTGTGGAGACCCAACTTGTTTTGTTCAAGATTGACCAGGTACTACAAAAGGTTGATGGTTTGGACGAGAAGTTGAGATCAGTGCAGAGCATTTTGCAGAGAATGGAGATGAAAATGGGACAAATACTCTCTTTGCATCAAGAACTGCAGTCAACGCTGAGTGCATTTGTGTCTAAAGTGGACAGGATAATTCAGTATTCTGATTCGCTTCAGCAGGCCAAAATGCCCAAGCGACCTTACGTTACAAACGATGTTGGTCTCTTCTATAGAATGAGTGCGCTTCTGCATAATGGGACAACCGTCCGCTTACAATTGATGTGTGAGTCAGTGACTGGGTTTCACACTGTCAAAGATCAAGAAGGTTTGAAGATACGCTTGGATCAGGGGAATAGCTTGTGGATTCGGAAAACTATCGAAATCTCATACAAAGTCATGTATTATGCTCTCAAGGCTGGACTGGATAAGACAGTCGGTTTGGGCCAAGCGATTCCGGACTGGGGAGATTTAAAATCTGATATTGTTCAACTAGAAGATATTAGTGATGATGATCATAGGGCATTTCTCAAAGGTGGGGAAAGCAAGGAGCTGCAAGAAGCATGGTTGAGGATTCAGCAAACTCTTGCGCCTCAGCTTCAAAATCGTTATTCCGAAATCTTCAAGTTGTATCAGGTGAAATACGTCAATTTAGATAAAGGTGGGCATGCATGGGTGTGCGAGAAGTGCATGAATAAAGGCCTTCGTTGTGGAATTTTGACATGTTAGGATTTTGAAGAGGTTAGAATGTCACTATGCAATTGACAAGCATATGTTTAGACCATCATGCAATATACAACTCTGCAAATTCTTCCTTGCAGTTTTCACAAGAAGAAGTCTTTTATAATCTTTGCCATCATGTCAATCGCACAGTTATGTTTCTGAAGAAGATCAGTGTTCGGCTAAACTATCCAGATGAATTTTTGAGGGTAGAGTGTTCATATTGTCTCGTTGCAAGTCTCACTGTGATGAAAATCCTTCCCTTGACACGTGAGGGTGGTCACGTTGAACTTCCAGACATATCCCTGACTGACTGATTCTTTTGTCCCACGATGAAGGTCCAACCAATGAAAGATGGACCGGAATTAAAATTTAAGATGTGTTATCATTTTCAAGTAGTATCCGTGTTTAAACAAGAGAGCAATATAGTCTAAAGAAAATGCTTTTACTAGAATTCATGCACAATATCCGATCTGTGAAGCTGAGAAATTCATAGCTCATGTGAATCTTCTTCTGGCGCTTCTTTCTATGATCAGAAGATTTCACAAGATTTCTTAGGAGGCCGAACTCCAGTTCGAATGCATCTTACCGGTAACATACTTTTTCATAGCGGGGTTCTCAGTGCATATTAAGTCGCCAGCACGCTCAGAACTGTCACGTGTATAAATGTCGTAGTTTCGAATCACGAATGCTTTTGCAATTGGACTGCGTGTGGACGTTGAGTTAAAGAGACTCTTTACGTGAAGCATAAATTTTCAAAGGATGTATTACCTCGTTTGCTGAATATCATGGGGAATGTGATTCTCTGCAAGTCCTTGACTAGGATATTCATTCTGCATTCATCTCGCAGAATGTTAATAACGTATGGTTTGATTGAAACAATCATGGGCGTTAGGTGGACGAGGCTTTCTCTATTTACAACTGCGTAAACAACATTTGTTTACGTAGTTGTAAATAGTCTTCCGAAATCAAAAACGAGAACAATCATGGTCATTGCAATAAATTGAACGGAGAAGTATATCACTAACTGATTAGATCCGGTAACACCAGAGAAAATTATACATCTTTGAATATAGTCCAGAAACTGCATTTCAATTCCTGGGCATCAACGTTAATCAAGTTGAGCGAGACCCACAGCTTAGACTTAGCGGTGTAGAATTAGTTTGCCAAACCAGATCTCGGGTGTCTGCATGATCCGAGATCGTGCATTGTTCAAGATGCGCAGTTGTGTACTTTACTACTATGGCCTCGAAACACCAGTCGGGGATTGCAGCAGCAGGATCTTGAAGAGATCAACCCTGCCGCTCGGACGTCCTTTGTCAAATGTTGGTCCTGTGATTGGAGAACCAGTTAGGTTGAGGATGGTGTAGAGTTTGTGAGACTTTGCTTCCTTATACTCGAATATTATTTGAAATTGGCGGGACAGTCAACCTGCTACAGCAGCAAGACGATGTTTCTGATCCAGCTTCTCCGGAACAGAGTGCGACCCGATTGAATGATTGATTGATGTATTCTTGCTTCTCTTCCTCCTCGTTCAGCAGCTGTGACACTCCCTCTCGTGAAATTGTAAGAGTGCGCGTTCATCAAGGTAGGCTGAAGAGATCTTCACTTGCGGATAAATATTTACCATGTGGCCACTGCCTCGCAAGCTGTCAAACAGGATGTTCAATTTCTTAGAAGAGCAGCTGGATCAGCGAACCGAAGCTTGTGAATGATGTCGATTCTTCTTCTCTTTCAGGGATGAGTTAACAGTCTCAAGTCTGTAAGCAAGGATGCTCGTCTCTGTCAATGAAATTAAATCATACAGAACCCACTGATCGCTACATTTTTCTCGATGATAGAAGGTTAGTGGAGGAGACCGACATAAATTTAGTACAATTAATTGCTACACAATTTTGTTAAGAGAAAATTTTAGTACAAGTCTTAACTAGTTTATTTAATAAAATTGTTAATCTTTAAAAAACTTTATGTTCTAATTTAATTCAAACAATTGAAAATGGTTAATTTTTTCACTAAATCTTTTTTGCCACACTGTGATAAAATTGATTCTCTAATATCAAGATTAAATCAACATGCGTGTGTCTTTAGTATATAGTAACTCCAAGATTTATAATTTGTGATAACACTTATATGCATAGTTCAATATTGTAGAATGTATGCTCATATGATAATGAAATCTATATTTAATTTTGATAAAAATTCATATGTTATGTTACAATACATCTATAAATGTTGTATACATGAAAATTATATTCTACCAATGCCCAAATGTAGGAGATCATGCAAGATTATGAAGATAAAAATCTGATCTATTAGATAATATCTATTGATTTACTTAATAAATCTAACTATATTTCTGAAAGTTATCACATCAAGTATGTCATTTCATGCAATGTAACATGTTTTACAAGCTCAACATTTTGCTCTATGAAAAAATACATCGATATGATATATCGATGAAATTATAACTCAAATTTGAAATTAAGATACAATCTATTTTGTTCCTTCCAAACACTTCAAGCACATAGATGATTTCCTCTAGATGTTAGCAAAAAAGATGCTTTGTATGAAAATGTATGACAAAATAATGAAAGTGAAAAAAAAAATATTAGTCTTCATTTGAAGCATGATGTAGGACTTCATATGCCAACTTTTGTGATTGTATATATGAAGTATCTAGTGATTTGTTCACATAGATAACAATACTCCACTAAAGCTCGGCATGATGATAACATACTGCACACATTGTCATGTTCATTCATACATCACTATACAAAAATAGGGTTTAGGTTCCACAAATCACTCGGAAAAAATATATGATCAAATGACATTCAAACAAAATCATGTGAAAGAATAACACATATACTTGAAGGCCGTCACATCCATAAAACTTTCATTCAGATTGCATAAATTGGAGTTTCGAGTGCATGTTGTCGGCCATCATATACCATAAGCCACACACGCATCCTCCATTCTCAATCAAATTGGCACCTCTCATGCACAATGTTGCACCCCAAATTCCATGCATATGCTGCAGAGTGTACCGTTTTTCCTGCACCAATTATTCGACTCGCCGGTTAGATGTTTGCATTGATGAGTTCATGCTGAGGTAGGTAAAATCTGGAGGAATTGGACAAATTCCTTTCTTTGACCTGGAAGACTTCTGCTCTCCTTGCATAAGCAAGTGTGACTTATTATTCCAATTCTCGATCAGCAAAGTTGAAAAAAAAGCATGATATGAGAACTTGAAGGATTTGGTGATAATATAATTCATAATATTCATTCGGTTAGCAAGAGTGATTTCCTCTTTGGGGCAGAAGACAAACTTAAATAAATCGGCTAACAAGACTGTACTCAGTCACGCTCAATGGTACTCAACTTTTGTATACCTATTAGATAGAAAACTTCCACACATTTAAAAGCAATATGTTCCAAAAATATCTGGTTTTAATCTTAAGACTGAAGAAAAAATAAAGTAGATGGATCCATTCCCCACTTTAACAAAGATTGATGGTACAGATATCTCCTTGATCTGAAAGAATTTGAAACAGTATAGGATAGGAAATTCAAACGTAGGAAGTATGTCAATCCAAGGTCACAATCTGAGCCAACATGAGTCCAATGACCACAGCAGAAGAAAAATTCAATAAACATATTTCTCATCTTTGATAATTTGCGGAATTGTAAATTATAAAGGCGTTGAAAATAAGACGAAGCGGAACATGGAGATTGAAAAATTGGTGCTGAATAGGTTATAGTAATAGGGCCACCGGCTTTAGACTCGGTACAATATGGAGCTTCCTTATTCTGCTCATAGAGCAGGACCCCCTTTCTAAGGAGATAAGATGCGTCAACGAGATCCGGTGCATCTGTTGTTAATTAATTAGCGCAGCTTAAGAGTCTGCGGATCTCAAGGGCACCAGGTCGCGATGGATTGATGGATTGCCTCTCGATTTCCAACCTCAGCACATGCGGAGGTGCTGCTGCTGCTGGCCTGACACCAACCAGCATGTTCACACGCTATTCACTCACAAGCGCGCAAAATCTGCAACATGGCACGTTCCCTGCCCTGCAAAAGACCACTCATAAACAAGCTGTGAGATCTGAGTACTGAAGTGGCTACACTCACACAAATAGGCACGCGGCTCTTTCGACGCTCAGAGGAAATGAACTACGAGTGGAAGAAACGAGGTACTTATGGAAGAAAGACAAATGCATTAGTGAGAACAGGCAACCCCCTATGCCTTTCTTATGCTCGTTGCCCTTGAGGAGATGGACCACGGAGCTTTGGAGGATTTTACGAATATGAACAATATCAAGTTGCAAACAAAGGATTTTGGCGTGGTTTGAACATGTTTATAAGTTATTGATATAATTCGTACCGTACTACTGGTGAATTATTATTGATCCCATCGAACATGTGTGAGATAAAAGTTTGTTTCTTCCTCTAGTAGGACGTGGTCTTTACAGAGACGCATGATGACGAAATCTTCGTCGAGTGGAGAATTCATAGCTTGGCCCCCAGTTTTAGCGCTTCACGCTCACAGGTGTTGCTCGTGTATTAAGCATGGCATCCATTGCACCCATATTTCCACAGATTCTACTCCATACCGTTCTTCATCATTTCCAGCCACCATGATTGCAACCCACTAGTTTGTGACCTTGCAGCGTTCGAACTGATGGCTAACAGCGTTAAAACTCATTCACTCTGTGTGACATGAACTCGGCTGTTTCCAAACAAGGCTGCAGAGTCATCGCATCTCCAGGCATTTCTAAAGAAACGAGAGATTAGTGATGCATGTATGTAGCTTACGGCAATGCTAAAACCTTGTGTCCAACGGCTGGAGACACTTCGTGATTTTCAATCGATAAACAGTGAAACTGTTTGACGATAATGATAAATGATAAACAACTGAAAATGTCCAAACAAAGACATGTTGACAAACATGTGCTTTTGGAAATAATTGCTATATATATGAACGAAAATTCGTCTACTAGAGCTTGATATGAGGCCAATTCCGGCACCAAAAGAAAAAAAGTTGTCCGGGAACACTACAAGTAGCGATACACTATAGAGTAAGCTCTTCATCATTGTAAAATGATGAAGAGCAGCGAATTCCTTTGGATTACGAGGAAGTATTGACACCTCGGATATGGAAGACTTTGAAGGTTTCCCCCGGAAGGTCTACCTCGAGCTGGCCTACGTGTATAGCGAAGGAAGCTCTTAGGTGCGCAGCTGAAGGGAGCAAAGCGATTTGCTGACCCTAGCTCCAGTAGATCCTCTTCTTGCCCTTTTGTACAACAAAAGGAAACAAAAAGCTGAAAAGGTTCTGCCAATCCGTATCTTCCCAATTCGTACAGTATTCCAAAACTCTTATAAAATCACGTATGTCAGCTGAATTTTCTTTTATAGAATAATTAAATCAGATATTCCTGCTGAATATAACGCGTAAAAACAGCTAGTAGTGTTATACTCCTAACTGAAGATGTACATTCAGAAAACAACACCAACGCCATTACCATCTGTACGAGATGAATTTGAGGTGAGGAAGTACCGGTGGCCTAAGAATTCGAGGTATCTAACGACTTGAATACTTGAACAGGATGTTGAAACTGTGCAGAATCAGATAGCATCCGAAGCCTAGATGGACCATAGAGCTGACGCATGACGGTACTCCCTTCGGCTCTTTTGAGGTTGTCGATAAGAAAGACGTAATTGTCTGAAGAACCGATAACACTTATTCATACGAGGATAATAAATAATAAACCTTTCTCCAGATGAGGCATGCCCTACACACCCACACACTTACGTTTTGGAACAAGAATCCACGACTTTTCCATAACAGTGGGTATGGATGCTGAACAAGGTCCCCTGGGAACAAGCCTAACTTATGCCAGATATGAAATTTTGGGCGCGAAATTCTGATATTTCATGTGAGTTTCGCGTGGATGTGTAGAAGCGGTCCAAGCGTCAGTCAGGTCCAGGGGGGAACATGTAGCGAGGAGCGTTTGACCTGGGAATGAAGGCAAGTGGGAGTTGACTTCAGGACCAGGTGGGCACTACGAGGTGCCAGCGTCCGTGGAGCCTTTGACCCGTTCAGAGAGGATCATATCGTCTGCTCTCATGTGCACTCCTTAGACTCAACACTGGAAGTATTAGAATAAGTGGAAAGGGTCCATGGTCCCTCCCCAGTCAGCTTGTTGGATATGGGACTTGCTGGCACGAGGGAAGAAGGGAGGACTGCGAATCGGTATTCTTGTCTCGCCTGCCCATGTCCCTATCCGAAATTGCTCATCTTCTCCAGTTCTCAGCACGATCGGTATGAGTCCCACTGGGTCCTGACCCGTCCTCGCTTGTTCCCTTAGACTTCAAAATCGTGTGCACAGGATGTGTCTACAGAGTGCTCATGCTGTGGATTCCGTTGTCTGAGTTTTATTCTGGGGCCTTCCTCCCCTCCGGACATGGTTGACCGGAGTCCAGATCTGGAGCTGGGTCTCCTTCCGAGGGCATGCTACAAGAATTCTCACTGAGAGGAAGAAGCAAGGAGCACTTTCTGTCGCCGGCGTAGCAGGTGATTCTCACGCACTTGCTCTTTGGATTGATTTTGTGAACCACTCGAGCAATCAAATGTGTCTCGCATGTCCTGCGATCCTGCCTTCTTCATTCTTTCTTTGAGCAGGACCGCGAGCACATTGTCAGAGGTGTCGGTCTGTGTTCATTTTTCCTTCCCGGTCTTCTTCTTCTTGCCTCGACTGATGAGTTTTGTGCTTCCCTCTGGCCGATGATTTGAATGCCTTGCGATCATCAAGTTTTGCAGTGTTCTCTGACTCTCTTCTGATCTTAGTCTCTCGAATCGTGTATCATCTTTTAAAAGCCTTCAAAATCATCAGTGAATGCAACGCTGCCAACTCAGAATCAGCCTCCAATTGTTGCTGCGATGATTAATTCCCGATCATAAATCTCGATCTTCATCCAGATCCGCCTTTTCTTGGATTGAGATCCTTGTCCCTGTTGAAATCGTACTTCCTTGAGGTGAATGATGCACCTGAGATTCATCAGCTCACCTGTTTGCTTTTCACAGGTACGAGTGCTTCACTGCTGGACAAACATTCGTTAATTTTGGTCTCATTCATTGAAGCTCTCGTGAGCTCAGTGAAGAGTTCGGTGTGCTGGCTTGAGTTGATCACGGGCAGAGTGATCGGAGATATAAGGGAGGTAGGGACTCAGTCACTTGGAGGCGGGAAGTAGTGCTATCGACTGAGGGAGCGGGAGCCGCTAGCTCGATGGCACCGACTCGTCCTCCGGCAATGAAGATGGTGACGGGCAATCCGATCGCAGACTCTGTTCTACAAAGGAAGACGGAGGATGTGAACGAGGTGTACACGCTGGGCCATAAGCTGGGGCAGGGACAATTTGGAGTGACGTATTTCTGCCAGGAGAAGGCCACGGGCCAAACATACGCTTGCAAGTCGATCGCCAAGCGGAAGCTGGTGCTGCAGGACGATGTGGAGGACGTGCGGAGGGAGATTCAGATCATGCACCACTTGTCGGGGCATCCGAACGTGGTGACCATCAAGGACGCGTACGAAGATGAGACGCACGTGCACCTGGTTATGGAGCTGTGTGCCGGGGGCGAGCTTTTCGATCGTATCGTCAAGAAAGGCAACTACAGCGAGGCTGCAGCTGCCTCTCTCACTCGCACCATCGTCGGCGTTATCGCTGCTTGCCATTCGCTCAATGTCATGCACCGCGATTTGAAGCCCGAGAACTTTTTGATGGCCAACAAAACTGAGGAGTCGCCCCTCAAAACCACCGACTTTGGTCTCTCTGTTTTCTTCAAGCCAGGTATGGATCTCCTTCACCTTCATTCTGCTTTCACTGAAGTCAATGGGCGAAGAACGAATCAATGTGGGTCTCGTGATGACTCCTGAATTTCATGTCTTCTGCTTGGCTGCAGCTGCTTCCCAAAGTAGTCGACGTGTAGCTCATCGATTTCGTAGATCGTCTACTCAATTCGAACTTTGCCTTTTAACGTATGTCCATGAAGAACGCCCCATCGTCGCCATCCCTGAGCGATATTATATCATCTTTGACAGCTTCTCAAACTAGATTGCCATACTCCATTTGCAATTGAGGGATTACTAAACACCTCGACTGATTCGCATCTAGGGTTTAGCTCTAATTTTGATACTCATGTCGGCGTCGAACATGTTTGGTATTGTTCAGTGTGTTTTGATCGGTTTGATGACATGTTAATGCTTCATGGAAGGTTTCTGCCTGCCTAAACCCCCATCGTTAACATTATGAACAGAGCGAGAGTTGAGTCTTGATCTGAATCTAAAACCTGGGGTGACAATTTATATGCATGTTGATTCTGCGCAGGGGAGACTTTCACAAATTTGGTCGGAAGCCCTTACTACATTGCTCCAGAGGTGTTGAATAAACTCTATGGTCCCGAAGCTGATGTGTGGAGTGCTGGAGTGATTCTTTACATCCTTCTCAGCGGTGTTCCTCCATTCTGGGGAGGTAAGTCTCAGTTGGCTCTAGCCCCCTGAAGTCCTGTTGATGCACAGGAAGGACTCTGCATCTCTAACCTTTAATCATTGAGGCTGTTCGAGACTGCGAGGGTCCTACTGAAGGATAAACTTTGAAAATAATGTAGTAATTTTGCAACTTCCAGCATCATGTTTTTTGGAAGTAAACTTACTTCTGACCACTTTCTAAGCAAGCTATGTTTTCTGACGCAGAAACCGATCAGGTTATTTTCAGAAAGATTCAACGGGGTAGAGTTGATTACAACTCATATCCTTGGCCGAGCATTTCCGCAAGTGCAAAGGATTTGGTCCGAAGAATGCTCGATATGAATCCCAAAACTAGAATAACTGCACTGGAAGTCCTCAGTAAGTACATGCGGAAATGCAATATGCATTTCAATTATGTACTGATCGAAGAGGAGTTCAACATGTTCCTGTTTTGTGCTGAACTAGTTGTCTGATGTGCTAGATAGATGGTGTGAGATGCATCTTTTACGATTATGCATTCTGATATATTCTACTGTATGGGGGAACAGACCATCCGTGGGTAGCCGTAGATGGTGTGGCACCAACGGAGCCTTTTGACCCCGCCGTGCAAACCCGCTTGAAACAGTTCTCTGCAATGAACAAGCTGAAGAAAATGGCTCTCCGGGTAAGGTCATGGCACTCAATTTCCGCAGCATCCCTTGACAACCGTAGGACATGATTGCCTCGATGGTTGAAGAGTAGCTTATGGGGAAGGACCTGTTCGCTGACAAAGGCCACATATTGGTCTCCAGGTTATTGCAGAGAGCCTGTCGGCTGAAGAAATTGCCGGTTTAAAGGAGATGTTCAAAGCCATGGATGCTGATAACAGTGGCAACATCACCTTCGATGAGTTGAAAGGCGGTCTGAAAAGAGTGGGATCGAAACTCTCTGAGTCTGAAATTCACGACTTAATGGAGGCTGTAAGTCAACCTCTATAAGAATTACTCAAATTTATGACCATTTGCATAGATGTAGTACATGCTCCTGACTGTAAAGACTCATGTTACTGCTCCACGTTACGCTCTTTCTGATCAACGATTGCAAAGCCAGTCAATGCCTTGATATATGTTGTACTCATCCGAAGTGTGGCATGTGAACAGGCCGATGTTGATCAAGATGGAACGATAGACTACGGTGAATTTATTGCCGCTACTGTCAGCCTGAGCAAGGTCGAGAAGGAAGAAAACCTGTTTGCGGCTTTCTCCTACTTCGACAAAGATAAGAGTGGGTACATTACCGTTGATGAATTGCAGCAAGCTTGCATTGACCACAACCTGGGGGAGGTGCGCATCGAGGAGATGCTTAAAGAAATCGACCAAAACAATGTAAGTTTATTTGCGCATGATCATATCGTCGTAGCTTTCTCTGACCATTAGTGAATATTATGGCTTCTTCCCAGTCCCTAGTATTTTTCCCAGCTCTACTTCTTTGTTCCACATTGTGAAACACTGGAAGGTCTTGTGTACTGAAGAAAGGCATGGAAGTATTGCAGTATAATTATGAGCCACAAGTCTTATGGTCAAGTTCCTCACATCTGTACCTGGTCATAGTCTCAGATTTCGTGGCTATGACCTGTGTCCTTTTCAAGCATCTTACGGAGAACGGTTTCATTTTCCAGGACGGACGTATTGACTACAACGAGTTCGTGAAGATGATGCGCATGGGCAGATTAAACATCTGATGAAGGTACAACCAGCAGCCAGTTCAAGCATCGGGTGTGTTGGGATGTCTTTGGAGTGTGAAAACTACAGTTGGAAGCAACAGCCTGAGACGAACTGCCTTCCACCAATATCTGTTCGATAACGCTATGAGGCGGAACAATCTCCCAGCTAGTTACCTTTTTTTGATCATACAGCCTTTTTAGTCGGAAGGTTTTGATTCAGCAATTAAAATTGGTGTATAAGTTACAATAGAAAGTGCTCTCTCGACCAGTGTATACTCATACTGTACTCATTAGCTCGTACCTGACATAGCCTGAAGATCATAGACCCCGCGCCCTGGCTGAGCGGTGCTACATCCCGACGACAAACTTACTCAACTTTTCATACAAGAAAAGGAAAGGCTGAAGTCGGGAAAGGATGAGCAGCCAGCCACACATCGAATGTCTTGAACGGACTACCTCGAGACGAGCAGCACTAAGTGAACGTGCAAATGGTCTGGGGATACAGATTATCCGACGTTAGTGACAGTGAGAAATTTTTTGGTGGCTCCTAGCCCACCCTACGTTAACTCAATGTATATACTGGAAAATCTTTCAGAGAAAACTTCAATTCTTTCGATTGGTTAGCTTGATCCTTTGCGTCCTTGAGCTCTCATGTTCAAAATGATTTTAGGCCACACAACATGAGGGGTGCATCGTGTACGATTTACTACCTCTTTGATACATCTGGTTCTGGCTCCGGAGCTTCTGCTGTGACAGTGTTGTACACCTCACAGATGTTCGGTCTCATCCTCATGCGTACTTAAGAGTGAGACTGGACCTCACGACCTGGTCCATCCGTCCTGGAGCTCAACTTGGACATGGATTCCACTTGAATTTTGAGTTTTGAGGGTGAAAGGGGCGACTATTTCATGAATGAGACGATGTGGACAATGGTGCGTTTGATGGTCTCGATATCGGCTGGTTGCAGTCATTCAATGATTTGAAGCTGTGCCACTTGAGTTCGTACTTCCAGTCGTGGCATGAGACACTCGACCTGTCGCCACACTTTCATGCATCGATAACTTTTAAGTAAATCTCGAGTGTATGTATAACGTACGAACCTACGCTACGGCCAAGAGCAAACATGTCACGAGGTCATTACGGGTGTCAATGGTTATCGATTCGCGGAGTCTTAAATATGCCCAAGGAGGACGATTCTGGGCCTGTTAGAAGTACCAGTCCCCCAACTCCGTGTTGCATGCTCTGCCTGCTCTGGCATAAAACAAACGAAGCTGCTGGAAATCACATTCCACTTAAAAGCTTTGTTTTGAAAACGCACATGACCATAAGATCATGTTTCGATCCGTAATTTTTTGAAACACAAACGCCGTTTTCGCTGCAAACAGACCACGTTAACCATCTCTCTCTCGGTAGATAATATCCAGCCCTTCGTTTAGGCAACAGGTGAGGTCACTATTTCACGCTCTGGATCCCTCTCTACTGGACGGAGTGTGAGTTGTTTGAAATTGCCCAGCACACACACTGGCCTTGTGCCTCGTGGTGTGTCAAAGGTGTGCAATTCTATTTGACTGTCATGCGGGCAACGATCCATGAGGTCGAACTTTCTCAATTCTATGAAATTCATGCACTCTCCAAATCATCATCACACCGTGGATAAGAGGGGACCCCTCTTATCCACGGTGTGATGATGTGGTGAATGTCTAATCTTCGGTCCCTCCTCAAAAATTCGTTCACTGATTCCCAGTTTCCTCCTTCGACCATCTGTCAAGTAATGGTCATGGCTCTCCTTCACTGTTCTGTAGCAATGCAGCTGCTCTCCGTCGACGTGATCTCGTGGCTCAGTGCAGATCATCGCTTCGTAACTTTTGCGGTCACCTGGATTGTGGGCAGTCCGAATCCCAAGCGTTCGACATAGTCACGAACAACCGATCTCTACTTCGATTCAGTTGTTCTTCGAGAAGCATGAAAGTCCGTCCGCCACATGAGCCAGAGTTCAGATGTCAAAGCGAGATCCCAGTTTCTGTCCAGAAGATTTTGGCCTTTCTCGGACGTAAACTTGGAAGCTTCATAGATTAGAACTGTGAAATTTCGAAGTAGGCCTATCCTGACAAAGAGACGGCAAAATGAGACTCTGTTTGTGGACTTCCTGTGAAATTTCTAAGACAAATGTCATTAATATGATGTGTTTACTCACAACGCACACATTTGTTGGAGCAATTGAATAATACTATATAATTAAAACAAATATATATGTACTGTCTAAACTTATGATAGGAATATGCTTTTACTTTCAAAACTCACTAAATCGATTCAGATAACGTCCATGGAAAGAATAATGATTTTCTGAACCGAAATACTTTTGAGTGACAGATAATCCCAGTTGAACTTGTTTTTGAACTTGCACTCTCTAAATTTCATTAATTGCAGTCCCTAGAACCCTCGTCAAAGGTCTAGCTCTAAGAATCTTATTCTCGCTCTAGTGACTAGAGCGAGGTTAAAATGAGAGTTAGAGACTAGGGTCTAGTCCCTAACGACATGTCCACTGCTATCGATGCTAGCTAATTGCAGTGCAACTTTGGACAGCACACATACCCAATTAATAGGGATAGGTGATACTTGCAGTACCCACCATTAATTGCTTTATACGCTGACGGATAGTTTGGATGTATTAGGAGAATATTAACCTTTCAGTTCTTGGGGTCATAGACCGCATGTTACCTGTGTGCATTTCTGGTGGGCTGTTCGCATCTTTCTTGCCATTTTACTTTCTCCTTTTCACTTTCATAATCTGAGCTGCGTTGGTTTTCCTCGCTAGGAAACAAGAGCATAACTCCTGACACCAGCAGACTTAATGAGACAGCATTGAAGCGTCTGCCGATCTTTTGTCATGTCACCTCAGGTTCAGGATGAGTAATGTAACACAGCGTTGGATTCACTCTCGTTCCAACTCCCGTCACCACCATCATCATCGTGGAACAGAAGTTCATGTGCAGAACGTGATTACGCATATTTTACTGGAAAACTTTTGTAGACTTGTGGGATCAGACCCTGAATTGATTAGACCAGCCGTTCCTAAAAAGGAAGGGCTATGTATAGTGCATCTTCTGGTAATTTAAGAACGCAAGCTCGCCGACTAATTAGCAGAGACAGAAGACCCAACGATGAGGATCAGCGGCATTGTTACACTTGTGGTAGAGCAAGGTCCATCAACTGCAGTGCCTCTTGCAGATATTCCATTCTAAAAGCAAGTTCAGGGCTGGAAGGCATTCATCTGCATAGAATTTATTGGATCATTTATCCAGAAGAAATTCCAAGGCATCTAAGCGGGAAATCCTTCTCTATACAAGTTCTCATACAAGGTGAAAGACCATCACTTCGATAGGCGAGAGGTGTAAGCACCGCGAGGTGTTCAGCTTACTCGTACTAATAAAGCTGCAGTCCTCCAGTTAACTTACATACAGCTATATTTCACTTTATCCGGTCTCCTTGATTAAAGTTTAAAGATGAAAAGATTCATGGTGATTCTCAGCCATTCGAACTGTGAAAGGATTGGAGAACAGTAGAAACTTATGGAGACATTGACGAGTTACTACCGCTGCAAGAGGTAGTAGATAAATTTTAAGCAAGGGCAGTGAACATGGCGACTACTTGACGAGAGCATCAAGATACAAACAAACAAGGTACAACAAGCAAGGTGGATGAGGCGGGCTTTATCATGCAAACTTAGAAAATGATCTTGTTGCTTGAAGGGAAAGGCGTACTGTACTTAAGTGTTAGACTGAAAGACTGTGGAGATCATATACAGTTGAGAGTGGAGGGAGGAGCGAAATCGGAGCTCAAATAGGCAGTACAGAATCGACATAGCAGACATAGTTCCCAAGGAAAGTGTACCCAACTGAGCTAAGAATGCAGTACATTACTAACCACTTCGCAAAAAGAGAGTGAAATTCGGATCCGAGATCCCTGAAGGGACAAACAGTCTTCCGGCTGTTACAACTTGTTACAAATGGTTCTTGGACTGTCCAGCAAAACACATCTTCCTCCTTTGGCTTTATCCATCCCTGAGGAGGTTGATCCAAATGTGTGGGCTCCAGTAGAACTTGCGGACAATTTCGTACACCAGATTTATAACTGCTTCAGTGTTTCAAGGTAGTTATTCTTTGCACTATGCTTATTTATCTTTGTAGCTGGATGTTTCTTTATCTCATCCATGGCTCCATCTTCTGTGATTTGAGATGCCATTTCCCACACTTTTTGCTACAATACTCACTCGGTCTTCAGTAATTCATCTACAGGATGGTTGGCCGTCATAAGAAAATCTGCACGGGCAGTGCAGCCCACGCAGCTCGGTTCGACCGGTCAGAGGTACGAAAGTGCATTCCTGCAGCAGCGTCTGTTTTCAGATGTTGAATAATTGCTTCTTGCATGAGGAAGAACTTCGTATGAAATGAGATTGTGAACGGCCAAATCCAAATCCATACACTTTTGATTTCCTCAGCCATTCTGTGAAATTATTATGTGCAAGGCGCATGACTGAAATCACATCCTTTAAGCGTGCGTATCTTGTCAGCTGAACGAGTCAAAAAAGTACAGAGTACTGAGACTGCAGAATATCAACACCGTGTGCAGGTGTATCTGCCACTCACACACATGGTGGAAATGTCCCGTGCCTAGCGAATGTCGTAGCCTCCCACAATAAAACTCTGCCAACCATTTACATGATGGAGCTGTGACCTCAATATTTTCATCATCTAACATTTCATCTATTTTCATTAATCATCTGACTAACCATTGAGCTCCGCTCAATGATTAGTATGATTGGCAGACTCACATTCACAATCTCTGCATTCATTCATTCATTCCTCGACAATAAAAACTTCCAGGATGGTGACCTCGAATGCCCAGGTTGTTAATTCTAGAAAGACACAGAATGCGGTGTCGAAAAGCCCCCAAACGAGGTGTCCATTTTCATTCTTAAACCACCTGTTGGAGCTCTGTGTATCAATGGAGCTCCAGAAAAGGACTTCTCTCCACAAGTCGGTACAGGCCGATCTGCAAGCTTCCAAGACGCAAAGTGGCTGATTTTCAAGCACATGAGGGGCCGGCTAACCTTGTTGGTTTCACCCATTGCATTACTCGCGCTTTGCGGAAGTTGATCAGTCACTTGAGATCCAAGAGCCTTCGCATTCAAGGTTTTCAAGGTTGGCACTTTCGACCAAATTAAAGAGGACAGTTCGCTGAATGAGATCTCAGCGTAGACGACAAACCCTGAGGCTGGCCAGATATTAGCAGCTCCAAGACAAACTCACCGATGATGTCATCGGGCATGGCGATTTTGAGTTACAACTCTTGACCTCGGTCGGTCGGTCGGTCGGTCTATCAAAAGCTCGACGAGCGTTCGAGCAAAAGCTTGCTTGCCTGAAAGTGACACACAGAAATCGAGGCTGTGAAATGCGAAGTGCGAACTTTACTTCAGCTGAAGAATCATTCACTCTGTGTGTGAGCCGTACGAGGTCAATCGATTGGATTTGGAATCCAGATCCAATTCGTCGTCCATTCAGCAGGTAGCTTCACAGCACGCTGACTGGTACCAGAGTAGGCGCAGGAGGCCTCGCTTGGCAGCATCTCAGTGCTCACTTCACCTTCCACGACCTCTGATTCGATGGGAGCAAAACCGCCGAACCTCGATGCCATTGGCGGATGCGATGCGTGGCCCCGGGGGGCGGTTCCTGTGGGCCTGCCTGCCTCACTGCCTGCCTGCCTGCCTGAATCGATGTGCCAAACGCCCAATTCATGCGAAGCGTAAAATATGATTTCCTCTGCCGCAACTGCCTACGCCGTGGCTCACTCTGAACCTCCTGTCGACGACCTTTTCCTACGGCTTCAATATTCTGTGAGCTTCGATCTCTTGAGGCATCTTTTCCTCGGAGTCAGAGTCAGAGCTCACGCCCGGCAATCGATCGACTGCGGCGTCGCATCAATCCGAGCTCCGAGCTCCGAGCTCTCGATCGGATTTGTGTGAGTAGCCACGAGAGAATGTGGTGTTTGGTTTCCTACGGAAATCAAACACCGACACCGACAGGCACAGATCGCGCATGTCTATTCTTCCATCGAAGTGGGCAGAACGCATCTTAGCTTGTGCAGCTGCCTGTGCATCCATCATGGGGAAGATCGAGCGAGCGAGGCCTGCCGCTGCTGGTGGTACCCGGGCGAGCGAGTGATGCGGAGGTGAGCATGACCATGGATCAGAAGAGGTAGCAGATGGTAGCAGTTGTTGACTCCAACGACAGTGCGGTTCATGCAGTTGTGCCCGGGGTTTAGGCAGGCAGGGCAGAGGCCATGCTCGCTCGGGAAAGAAATCTGCTACAAAATGCTGGACACTTCGATCCTGTCGATTGCAGGCACAGCGTCCTCGAAGAAGATGCTGTCGTAGGCGCTCAGTGGCTGTCGTAGCACAGAGAGGCTCGACGAGTTTCGCCGTTTGTCAGAAATCCTGAAGCAGATAATGTCGTAGCTTTTTACAGTCACCGTCGAGGGAGGAAGGGCTGGAATTTTTAAGTCTTTCATCGGCGATCCCAATCAGGTCTCGACTGCGAAGCACATGGCGGTCTAATCCCTCACAAGACGACGGTGCGATCGTATTCGAGCGTTTCAAATAGTGCGGTCAGTGTTCATCATCGATTTGATTTCTGAAGGTGGCCTTCTGCGGAGGAGAGAGAGAGAGTATAGAGCGGATTCGGTGAGCGCTGAGTCTTCACGATGGTGGTCGCCACCATAGCCCCTCCTGAGCTGGGGAGGAATCGGCGCTGGATCGTCTCTGCCATCGTCATCGTCGTCATGGTGAGCGTCGCTCTGAACGGCGAGGGAGCTCTCGCTCAGCAGCCACTTTACAAAGATGCTTCGCAGCCCGTGGAACTGCGAGTGCAGGACCTGCTCTCGCGAATGACAGTGCAGGAAAAGATTGGACAGATGACTCAAATTGAAAGGACGGTCGCCACCCCTGAAGTCATGACACAATACTTCATTGGTATGTTCTTCGTCAATTTTCTCATCATCAGGAAGCAGTCGCGAGATTTGTCAGATGATTTGTCCTGATTTTTTCCAGGCATTCGAAGCACCTTTGACAAGATTGTCAATCTCTTTCGACAAATCTCGAACTTTAGTCTCTTCTACGATCAACATGACAATGACAATGTGCGAAATATGATGACAGAACGACGGATGATTAATCGAGAGCTGACGCCTGAGAATTGATCTCACTGACAGCATTCGACGGTTTTTTTTTAATGTATTACAATCAAATTGAGAGACTCCATATTGCTGAAGTCTTTTGCATATCTATCTAGATGTTTATCTGAGGTATGTTCTGGAATTGCAGGGAGTGTGCTGAGTGGAGGAGGGAGCGCTCCTGAACCCAATGCACCTGCAGCCTGGCAGGATATGATCGATACAATGCAACAAGCAGCCCTGGCTACTCGTCTGGCCATTCCGATGATTTACGGTATAGATGCCGTCCACGGACATAACAATCTTTATGGAGCCACCGTCTTTCCTCACAACATTGGCCTCGGATGCTCGAGGTACTCGCTGTCATTCATTGCTTTTGACATCATTGGGTTCATCCTGTACACTGACAATCTGTATCAAAGCCTTTTCGAATTTCAGCTGTTTTATTTTTTCATTATTCGCTCTCTGCTGATCCTGAAACCATTTCCTGTGTTCAATTCACGGGATCAAATTTCATGGAACGTGGATTGAGGTTACTGAGACCTTCAACATTCTGAAGCAGTCGAGGTACTTTCGCTGAGGTGAAGGATTTGAACGAATGAATGAATGCCTGCAGGGATCCGGACCTGGTCAAGCGAATCGGAGCGGCCACAGCATTGGAAGTCCGAGCGACGGGAATTCCTTACGCGTTTGCTCCTTGCATTGCGGTTCGTAGTCTCACACTGCGCACTGCGCACTGCACTGCAGTGATGATTATATTGCCACCGGGGACTTTATGTATGCTGCTGGCTCGCAGAATTCTCGAAGAAATCCGTTCAATAATCTCTCACATTCTTCCTGCTCGTGCAATAGACTTGTCGAGACCCGCGATGGGGTCGTTGCTACGAGAGTTACAGCGAAGACACAGCTGTGGTCAAGACGATGACCGACATCATCCTCGGACTGCAAGGCGACCCTCCCAATCTTACAGCAGGTGTTCCCTTCATGGCAGACAAGTGAGAGGATGATCTATAACCCCCTCGTCCTGATTTATCGTTGGAATGGCCCACTCAGCCATCGTGTTCGAAAAATGTTTTCTAATTTATTCGAGTAAAAATTTGGAGCTGAATCTGCAGTAACAGTCCGCTCGAATTTCATCTAGCTGAGTTAGCCTGATTGTCAGAAGCGGACTGTCAATTGCAGAAGCAAGGTGATAGGATGTGCGAAGCATTACGTTGGCGATGGAGGCACATTCAAGGGCATCAATGAGAATGACACCATAGTGGACTACGATACTCTGTACAAGGTTCACATGGCACCGTACTTGGACGCCATAGCTAAAGGGGTGTCCACGATCATGGTGTCCTACTCAAGCTGGAACGGAGAAAGAATGCACGCCAATCAGTACCTGGTGACGCAAGTTCTAAAAGAGCAGCTCGCATTTCGGGTACAGTGAGAAGGACTCTGGACCTCCTGTCGACGTCTTGCTGCTGCTGCTGCTGCAGCCATTGAATTGTCTGATTTTTCTGCTGTCCGTCCTGTCAGGGATTCATCATTAGCGACTGGATGGGAGTGGACAGGCTCTCGGACCCCAACAATCCCAACTACACCAACTCTGTCCTCAAGTCAATCAACGCTGGACTGGACATGGTGCGTTCAGCTGCACATGCTGCTGCCTCAACTCCTGAAGTCGGTTTCCGTCAGAATTACCATCTCCTCTGATAATCAGTATCTGAAACTGATGATGCTCTTCTCCCTCCCAGATTATGGTGCCTTTCGACTACGAAGCCTACATTAGTGGCATGCTTTCTCTCGTCAACGACGGTGAAATCTCCATGGAGAGGATCGATGACGCCGTCACACGAATTCTGCGCGTTAAATTTGTCATGGGCCTCTTTGAAGACCCCTCAGTCGATCGGTCGCTCACGAACCATCTCGGCTCTCAGGTGAAAGACCACTCTTCAGCCCTTGAATTAGAGTCTGGCCTCCGTCTCGACTGCAGTAAACTGTGTCAGACATTCAATTACAATACAATTGATTGTCTTACACATTCAATTGTATTATAATCGATTCACCGATCCATTATCCTCCTAATTCATATGCATTCCATAACTGCTGTCCTCAGCTCCTCTTGCACGGCCGTGTGCGTTCTGTCCTCGTGCAAATTGAGGAGGAGACATTAGGATGTGTGTCTTGGCAGCACGGATCAAAAGAACATTTATATGGATTCGTCGACTGGCATGTGTTGTGTTGGAGCAGGAGCACAGGATACTGGCCAGAGAAGCTGTTCGGAAATCACTGGTGCTTCTGAAGAACGGACAGCAAGGCTCGCAGGCACTCCTACCTCTCAAGAAAAATGCGACCAGCATTCTCGTAGCGGGAAGTCACGCGGATGATATTGGGCTCCAGTGCGGAGGATGGACTATCTCGTGGGTGGGGGCTGCTGGCAATACCACTATTGGTAAACGTACCTCCATTGAATCTCGTCGCTGACATCCAACAATCATGCCCTCGATCCAGGCCATGTCGTCTCATCAATCATGGAAATCTCGTAGCTTCCCAGAAAGTGACTCACGGGGCTTCTTCTCTGCAATTATTAGAATCTGCTTTGCGCCATGCTCTTTATAAAACGTGCGTCCCTCGAATCATTATTTGGTCCATGTCTCTGACACAATCTCGAATTGGACTGTATCAGGGACGACGGTGCTGGACGCGATCAAAGCAGCAGTGTCACCGACGACCGTCGTCACGTACGAGAAGAACCCTGCGCCGGGTTTCGCAGCGCAGCTGAAGCCGGACTACGCCATTGTGGTTGTCGGGGAGGAGCCATATGTCGAGACGTATGGAGACAATATGGAGCTCACGATTCCATTGGACGGGATTCCGACGATTCAGAATGTGTGTGCCGAGGTGAAGTGCTTGGTTATTGTCATATCTGGGAGACCTCTCGTAATCGAGCCCTACATGCCTCAAATTGATGCCCTGGTGGCGGCATGGCTTCCGGGAAGCGAGGGCCAGGGCATCAGTGATGTGATCTTCGGAGATTATGATTTCGTCGGCAAACTTTCACGGACGTGGTTCCGAACGGTGGATCAGCTGCCCATGAATTTCGGAGATGCTGTCTACGACCCGCTCTTCCCATTCGACTTCGGCTTGACGATGGGCACCAAGGAATCCTTGTAGCAACGCCATAGATCTTTCGTGAAAGCCATCTCCTCACAAATCAATCATTGCCTCAGTAGTCACACTTTTTTCCATGGACCTCAGCCGACTTCAAAGAGAGCCGAAAATTTCCCAATCGTTGACGCAGACTCGCACTCACCTTCTGGAATGGTGGAACTTCATGTGTTATCAGTCTAGCCTCCATCAGCTGGCAAACTCGGTTGGGAAATTGGAAACTACAAATTTGTCAATACTTCTTTTTCTATGATTGGGGTGTGAGAATGGCAGCACTTTTCTCGAAACACAACAGATGTTTACATGATTCTGGCATTTGATTCGCTCGATTTGTGGTAAGACCATTCCTGTTCGAAGGGATGGTGAATTCTTCGGAGAGAATTGCATCAACAAGTAGCAAGTTTTAGGACCTGGAGTGGCATATCATCATTACTTATATTATAATAATTGCAGAGAAGAATTATATGCCACTCCAGGAGAATAGTGGCAGAGTGTTACTTCTCTGTGAAGCTTACTGAAATTTGTTCCTATGCGTCCGGAGCACATGGAGACTGCAGATCAAAGGTGTCACCTATTCGAAGGTTAGTTCGTCAGTTAGAATATTCCAAATCAGCTTTCGACAGCGGAGGTGTTGCTGGTAGTGGAAATAGCCCCGGACTCTAGAAAATGATCTGTGTTTGCTCACTGAACAGATAGTGTCACTTGTCATTGATCAGAAATCATGCATCATTGCAATTATCCGAGAACACTTTCTCAATTTACACCCTGAAGGACTCTTTGACTTCAAAAGTATCGAATGTATGACTGTCTTCCTCCCTGCATCAAAGATTGTCCTCTTCTGAGATAAGTCTAACCGAAGATGTATGCCAGACCTATTATTATATTGGTGCAAAGGTACCCAACCAGGACTGAGCCTAAACGCACACTTGTGCAACGGGCTTCTACACGCTTTTATATTCTAGTTTGTGACAAATTGTCGCTCTAATCCTTTTACGTGTATGATATGAAAAAAGAGACCACGGTGGACTTTTTTGACGAAACCTGAAGGATATTGGGGCATCGCAATGTAAGTATGTATAAAGAGCATACAAATTTACACCATTTTCGTAAATGCAAGTAGGATTCTCATAAATCCACTATGCATCCTAGAATATGATGTGCATGCTCCTAAGAATCAGTTCACAAACATTGAAAACTCATTGGTTCATATAATGATAAGATACAAAAAGCTGAACTCTTTGTATACAATAATTATGGGAAAATATATTGTATTATTAGAATAGAAGTAGGTCACTCCGCGCTATCATTGCAAGGGGGAAAAGGGGAAGGCAAGGACTGGAACTATCTCAATATATTACCCACTACCTGCAGGACAAACAAAACCGTTGCACCTAATACGAAGAGAACTCTTTCAGGAGCATGTGTTTGTTCATTCGAAAGTGGGTCCAGTCCTTATCCTTCTGCAAAGCTATAAAGCTGCACATTAACGGAATTTCTTCAGTTCAAAGGCATCTCATCTACGAATCTGGAAGAGGTGCGGGACTTGGTCCACACGAGCTCACTCTTTGTCACACAACTGTATGATACCTTTGTCCTCTGTTCCAGCCAACCGAACTGGCTACATGAAATTCTATCACAGACTATTAGAAGGTACAAAAATGCAGGAATATATTTTTCAAAGAAAAGAAACCATTTTGAAGGTAAACAGCGCAAAGTATGAACCGTTGAAACTATACTGTACTTTTCTGGAAGTTAAACTGTACAAGATTTGTATGGTATGGTATTCATCTGAGTATTTCTGAAACGTAAATTCAGTAAGGTATAGTTCGTTTTACGAGTAATCTTCGGTTGTAATTTTGTTCTGTTATAATTTCGTTGATACTTCTACATGTTCATAGATATGAAAGACAAATATAAAATTCCCTTCAAACAAGGGGAGGGTAGTTCTGAAGGGAATTGTGCATTTGTCTGTCACATCTACATTTCACCGTTATTTGGCTAAACATCTGTAACCGTATTACGTGTTTAGCTTTCCTCGTGAAAAAAGGTTTTGTTTTTCAATTTGGTCCTACATTTGGCGTATGAAGGACCAGTTAGAGCTGGTATCGTATACATGATGTCATTTGCACTTGAACTACTGTTAGAAGCATAATATGACTAAATGAAAAGAAGAAGTATAATGCTTCCTTCAGTGAGTCCTTAAAGTCTAAATTGTGGTCTACGACGGATAGTAGCTAAATGCATGAACCTAGAGTATTTGTGATTCCAATATTCGAATCTAAAAGTGAGTTGTTTTGATTTTGTTTTTGATACGGTGATGACCTGAGTGTTCTACTGGACTTTGAAATTTCGAATAAAACCCTTGTGAAAATTGAAAGTTTTTAAGCACTTGAAATTATTAAATCAATGTTAGTTTTGATCTTTTGTTATATAGAATGTAAATAGTGTTGACATAACGTTAAAAAACTAATTTTAAAACATGGAAAGATATTCTTTTTTAGATATTGTATTTTGATTACATCCGACTTGAGAATATTACAGTCAAAACATACTGTAAAATTTCAATGAAATAAATCAATGCTCACAGTTCTGTTGTTGCTTGGAATTTGGATTGGTCAAGGATACTTTTGAAAGTAGTGTTTGAAGCTCATGTATATGTGTTTTAGAATTTGCAGAATGTGTTGATGGCAACGTCTCCTATGTAAGCAACCAACTCGGGTTCAGCCAATGTCGAGTAGAAAATAGACTCTGTGGTATTCTATCGGTCTCAGTGGACTACACTCAATCCATCGTTCAGAGTCACCAGCGGTTGCAGTTTCGGCATTGTTTTACGACAGATTTAGTCAGACTTTTACAGTTTTACAGCTATTGGTCTGACTTGCAAGCACCGTCTGAAATTATTTTCCATCCTCGCACAACGAGCCTGTATCTACCACGATGCCAAAGAGCTATCCATCGAGACGGAGACAGACAAGTGGCCCTTCTTGTCGATCCAACCGAACCTTCAGTAGCTAATAATTTATGAAATTCTGAGAGACCACATTTTCTATATTCTTAGTATAACAATTCACTTTTCTAGATTTGCAAACATTAATGGAGTAGATGTGATACGATATTACCCTTCTAGAGCTTTTCCATCATTTGTCATGCAAAAATCAAGCTGAAGACGATATTTGGTAGCAACATCATTATCTCCTCACTTGTACGACTGGTTCGACATATTCCTACAGTGGTTATCGACACGAGACTCGGCAAAAACAACGTGCTGGCGCACGCTTTCTTGTGTTTCAATTATTTCGACATTGCAAGTTTGAGAAGAGCGAATCATTTGATAAATGAGAATGATATTAGGCTTGTACATACGAGGTGACCAAGGGGCTGTGGGACGAACAGCAATTGTGAACGGCAAATAGAACTCTCCGGAGCATCTGCACGTAGAAAAGTCCAGCCATGCGATTTCATCTTGGCAGTTTTCCCATTCCTAGTCCGAATGCAAAACGAAACAGTGGGTCGTAAATCGGATCTCCAAAGTTCATGGGCAATTGATCTGCAGATTTGAACCAGGTACGGGACAAACTCCCCACAAAATCATAATCTCCAAAAATGACATCCGTGACACCGTTTCCTTCTGTTCCGGGTAACCATGCTGCTACGAAGGCTTCCATAAGAGGAAGATAGGGCTCCACAACCAGTGGTCTCCCGGAGATCAATATAACCAGGCATTTCACCTCCGAGCATACGTTCTTTATTGTAGAGATTCCTTCATCTGGAATGGTGAGGTTAGTGTTGTCTCCAGCACCTTCTGCATATGGTTGTTCTCCAACAACCACTATGGCAAAATCAGCTTTTGTTTTGGCTGCGACTTCTGCTGTCGGACTTGCTTCATGAATCACTTGAGTTGTTGTGAAAACAGCTGCCTTTACTGCATCCAGGACCGTGGTTCCTAGTCAACATCAACGAGAGCGTAAGCAACAAACTGATGTCAGCAGTGTTTGCCTGTCTAGCGGGCCCTGGTTGAGGGGTCCTAGTAGTCACAGATTGAGGCTGAGGAAGGATGCTGAGGGAGAAGGAAGAGGGAACTTAAGGAACAAAGTAAGTGAGATTTTGATTACATAAGGACCCCATAGGCAGGCAAGAGGAACAACTGTATCACATATAAAATATAAGTACAAGATTTGTCGGTTGAAACACACTTGATTTCAAAAGTAAGAGGGATAGCAAACTTGATACATGATAGACCAGCTTGAACTTCTCACGATGCAGACACAGGTAAGGTAACTCGGTTTTTACCTTTAGTAATAGAGCCTGCAGACCCTTGCCAGGATATTGTCCATCCACCACACTGCAATCCTACATCATCAGCATGAGTCCCTGCTACCAGAACGCGTGTAGCATTTTTGCTGAGAGGCAGGAACGGTCGAGATTCAGTTTTTCCATTTTTCAAGAGAACAAGCGACTTTCGCACTGCCTCTCTTGCTACCATCCTGTTGTCCTGCCAGAACCAGGACAACTGAGGGTAAGAATCAGGATGAACAAATTATGATTGACTTATGATCTCATGGAACCTTGACACGCCACAGTCCCATGCTACCTTCAAGAGGTCCACATGATGTCACTGGACTGATTAGGCACCTATCTCCTCAGGATCTACAGCTCGTCTGGACGATTTTTCCAGTCTAACCTAATCATGATGAGCAAACCTTGATCCTTCGATAGCGGTCATTCGACACACACATCAGGTATTTTACGACAGGCCATATTCAAAAGCAAACCGTGCCAACGTAACCTAGTGGACGTAGACCTCGTCTACCAAACAATATTCAGGGGGTGGGAGAAGAAAAGATCTTCCAACAAAACACACCTGAGATCCGAGATGAGGAGAAAAAGAACGATCAGCAAGGGGATGCTCGAAAAGACCCATCGAAAATTTCACCCTTAAAATTCTTGTGACTGCGTCGTCTATTCTCTGCATGGATATATATCCAGTGTTTACCAATGTCCTCAATGTGGATATGAATTTCTCGTAATCAAATGGCACCATAATCTGCCCGAAACAAAGGTAATACGATCAGCACTTACAATTACCAGGTTGAATTTACCGGGCAGATCTCTGCATGGATGCATCTTACGCTGTCTTTAAATAAGATGCTTCCTGTCAAATGCTTCAAGTAACAGCATCAATTCAGGGGGCAGACTGGAACATATGTTTACTACTTCAAGATCGGTAAATTTCAGTCAATGAGCTAAGTCAAGCCTTTTAGATAGTGAAAGGATACTACTCTATAGATGAAGTATCAAACGCACCATATCAAGCCCCGCATTAATTGATTCGAGGACAGAGGCGGTATAATTTGCGTCAGGGATGTCGGTAATAAAGTCAATTCCTTCCATGTCCGAGATTACGAAGCCCTGGATTCCAAGGTAATAATGTCAGTTCACAACTGATAAACTGGAAGCGCTATGCAGACACAATTCTTCGACTCTCGAAACTTCACCTTGAATCCAAGTTCTTGTTTGAGCAACGTGGAGATAAGTCGGTGATTCATATGCATTTTGACTCCATTCCAGCTCGAGTATGAAAGCATAATGGTGGAAACACCCTTGGCGATGGCATCCACATATGGAGCCACATGAATTCTGAAAAGATCTTCGTAGCTGAGAATCGTATCGTTGGAATTGATTCCTCTCTGAGTCCCGCCATCTCCGACATAATGCTTTGCACATGCTGCCACCTTGCTCCTGATCGCAAGACAGTTCCGAAATGGTCACAAATCCTCCCGTCAAACTCCATAGGCACCACTTGTGGATTGCGTGATCCACCAAGTATGAAAACTTACAATGCACAAGCATGTGCGATCGTCACTCTCTCCACAATTCCAGCAGTTGTGTGGTACGAGAAGAGCACACTCCACGAACAAACCTGTCGGAAACGAAAGGAATGCCCGGCGTGCCATTGCCTTGCAGACCGTATATGACGTCGGTCATCATACGAACGACACTTGTATCTTCACTGAAGCTTTCATAACAGCGACCCCACCGCGGGTCACGACAAACCTTCAGGCCAAGAGTGGACAAAGTAAGAGCATGAGCGAAGAGTCTGTACATGTACAGACCTTGACTTCGGACCTCTGTTTCTGCAAGCTCTGCTGACTGCAAAGTTGCTGCGCTTCGGATAATTCAAAACGACAAACGAGACCCTAGGAAAAGAAATCTAGACAAAATTCTATAATATTTGGTTCGCTGGAAATAAAATTCTAAGAACGTTGCTAGAGAATACTTCATACGTGGGAAACTCCCACATCTTATATAATGCAGTTCTGAAAAAATTTGATGAGGTTATGAAGCCGGCATGCAGTGTTGCCTTTCAAATCGGCAGCGATAAAGGGTTAAGGTAGATACAGCAGGTAATTGAGTAATTCAATCTACCTATGTATTCGAACTCATTAGTGGAAAATACACGGATACTAATAAGATCGCATCCAAATTAAGTGGACAAGATACATCCGTGTAACAGTAACCTGTGGACCGTACTTATCCAGCAACAACATTAGTCGGTTTGGCTCAAGAATTATGATTTGTGGAATTATAAGGTAGTGTGTTACATACTTATCATTGGTGAGAACCCAAGAGGTGAGCTCTCAAATTAGTGAGGACCACTGCAAATGAGGTTAAAGAGTGCTCCATCCCATGTAGGCACCAAGAACGATTAGCATAATAGAAAGTTCAACGTAGTAAACACGAAATGAAGAGATCAATAATGTTTTCTATCCTCTGTAACATACACTTCCATACACAACAAATGCGTACCCTGAGAGATTCACTGTGATAATTTTTCAATCAAATAATCACGAGTGAACTAAAATCTTGGATGATTATAAAACATAGGGTCGGAATATTTTAAGATAGGCACAATCATGAATATTTACAAAAGACGTTATGTACAATACAAAGTCCAAGTTGTTGACATTATTGACTCCCCAAACACGTAGTGTACTTTACAATTGGACTCGCACAACTCATGATTATTTACAAATAACATCATATACAATAGCAAGTCGAAGGGGCAGAAATCTATACCTCAAGACATTAGAGGATTGGACAAGATGTCTAGGGAAGAAAACGCACCAAGTCATCTACATGACTGAAAGTACAACAAGAAGACCTCAATTCCAAACGGAGAGTCGGAAGGAGAGAAATACACTACAATTGTCAACATATGAAACACCAAAGATGTCCGTTTCAAAGATATCATTGTCGTAGCTGAGCCACTTCTTTAATCTAGGGCCTTTCAAAGTGGAAGAAATCGCACTTTGCCGTGGCCAAAGTACTCAAATCTGGCCTCATTATTTTACATGTGTCTGGAAGATAAGATGTAGGAACATGAGCCCCTACCAAGTATCATCCTAGTGCTAAACAACATCGAAATTTACCCACAGTTACGATATCCGAATGTTTATCAGGGACTTAAGTGCTGTAGGTTAATTATGCACTATAATAGTTTACAGATCAAGAGCATACATGTAACGATCAAAAATTTAAACCATATCTACCTCGACAGACTGAATAATACGAGCACACAGATCTCGAAGTTGAACAGAAAGATAACTTGTTTAGACTCTCCATCAATTTGTATCAGGAGAGACAGCTAAATGCAAAAGGATTCGAGAAGTTTATCAAATTCACCGTGAGTTTCAAGTGCCGAAATCAAGGTAGGGAGGGATCAGTAACAACGTAAAGCAAATACAGAGTCGAAAGTCAAGGAACATTTGAGTGGTTCCTACCCATGCCAAATGTGAGGTGATCAACGTTTGTAAAATCAGAGTAAATAAGTCAGTGACACGATTACAGAGGTCCCTGCCAGAACTTTCGAAACATGCCATATGCTAAAGGAGCTCCTTTTGACTTTGTACGGACCGCAATACATGGTGCGAAGGTGTAGGGAATTCCCGTCGCCCTGAGTTCGAGTGCCGTGGCGGCTCCAACCCGCCTCACTAAATCTGGGTCCCTGAAAGCACAGAAGATAAACCACTAGTAATGCAAGAGCTCAGTTTCAGAGGTAAACCTGTAAACAGCTCCTTCGCAGATAAATGAGATAAATGTAGGGACGAGAGAGAGTAAACACCTTGTGCAGCCGAGTCCGATGTTGTGCGGGAAAATAGTAGCACCGTAGACATTATTATGCCCGTGAATGGCATCTATACCATAGAGCATGGGAATTCCCAGTCTGGTGGCCAGTGCACCGGCCTGCAAGTCGTCAACCATATTTTGCCATGCTTCGGTCGTACTCGAATTCGGCGTGCTTCCTCCTGAACTGAGCACGCTCCCTGTTCACACAAGCATTTGTAAGCGCAGCCAGTCACGTTCCAAGTCACTCACGAGAATAAAAAAACGAGTCGCTGGGCCCGGTTGCCTTTGATGTCAAGAAACGAACTATTTACAAGAATTGAAATTGGAAAATATGGATGGAATAATTCTTCGTCTTTAGTTGCAACGATCGTGCGTACTGTGCATGAACCCTTCCTATGAAACTGGCAATTTTGCATGGACCGAAGTGAGCACCAACATACTCGAGAGTGTCAGCAAGAATTAATATACTGAAACGTAGGAGAAGGTGAGACCTATTGAAAAGTTTTTCATGACATCAAAATTTGCAACATATCTCTCAATCTGAGTCATCTGTCCGATCTTCTCATCCAGCGTCATTCTTGACAGCAAATCTTGCACCCTTAATTCAACTGGCTGATTGGAATCCTCGTAAATCTCTGTACACAGAGCAACATGATCGTGCAAACATGCGATGGTGATGCACAATGCGATCACCTTCCTGAGAGCCATCGAGGAACAACAATGATTACGAGCCTGATTTTCTCGAGTCTGCACGTCCATAGTCAGCAGTTAAGATATGTTGGGACTGCAAACCGAAATCAATTCTTGTGCTCATGGCAAACTTCATTAAAAAGAAATCTTTCAAACTGCTCGAGATTCCTCTCGAACTCGCACTAACTGTCCTCTCATCTCATCTTTTGGCATGGACGTTACGACAGTCAAAGCGGTCGGATGACTAACGTATGAAACTACCCTATTAGGTGTACTAGCGTCATTTGGGGTATTAAAGTACCGGTACGTCACATCTACCGTGGCCACCGAGGACAGTGAAGATAGGTCCCTATAAACGCTAGAGCCACACCTGTACCATATCGGCAAACACAGATCTGCATCAGATGAGCGTCCAGATTAAAAACCTCTCAAATGGAGTAAATCTCAATATCACGTTTCATGGCTTAGTTTCACATTATCCCCCATACTTCCAATCAAAAACGTCGTCCAGTGGGAGTTTTAAGTGGGAGAGTGGCATGCAAACAGCTCACAATTTTCACCAGCTGCCCTATGGCTTGAGGGCTTTAGCCCGACCCTCCAATGCCACCTGGAGTATGTCCATAGCCTACTGACTCCACCGAGAGCACAAGAAAAGCGTTGCAAATTTCGGCGGATTATGAAAAGAGGGTGAATTGATTCCTAGGCTTTGGAAACTGATTGGAGAAGGCACTTGAGGAGCCAAGGGATCCGAAGGTATCAGAAGGTATCCATAGACTACGTCGTTCAAGAAAGCAGAGTCTGAAACTTTTTGTAGGATAGACCGATTTGGAGGGTAGTTCTTTTCAGAGACCGTAGTTGGTAGCTGGACGACGATACAGGGGACCACCCCGACCATGCATGGAAGCGCAAAGGTATGGCATTGGTACGTCGAAGATTGTGATTGTGATTGTGCTCGTGCTCGTGATACTACACATGTCGTACGTCCAGACCCTGACCTATACGGGCCCGGTTACGCAAGAAAGCGATCTATAACGAAAGTCAAGCCAGAATTCAAGGCCCTGGGGAAAAGAGGAGTCATATATGAAAACCCTGTGATCCGAAGGGTTACAGGACTTTGTCAACGAGCTTTCGAGTGAAAAGAATCAATCATCGGCGTGGGGGGGCGATGTTGGCATATCTCGAAGGATTTGGGGTCTCTCGAGGGCGAGATCTGGGCGATACGTGGACGACACAGATTGCTCGGAAGACTGTTCTGTGCACCCATCCACTGTCGGTACCACTCCAGAGGACGGGTTAAAGAGACACTGCCGGTACGCGGTCGAGGCAACAGCCCAATTGTGGACTTTTCCACGTGAAAAAAATATCTGAGCGAGAGAATTGCTGCCCAAGTCCCGTCGCATGAGTCCGCCACAAGATAGACGCAAACCTCGACGCTGGGGGCTTATGCATGTACGCTCGGCAACGGCATCCAAGACCCCCCCGTCCCTCCCTCCCCGATGGTGTGATTTCCAGCACATCATTCCCCTGCTCGAAGCACCATCAGTCCCTTACTACTACTGACCATCGGCGTGTAGACATGTCCACGTAAGCAATACCCCAGGCCCACATCAGGAAGAGTCTGGCACGACGACCCGGCCACGTCGGATTATGGTTCTATCTGACTGTCGATCGAGACCACGTGTTCAGCTTCTCCAGACGGCACGTGGATCGAGAGCAGTGGCAAGAGCTTCGAGAGAGAAAGTCAGTCCTCGGGGTGTTTGTTTGTGGGAGGTCGGGCAGGAGTTTATCTAGAGCAGCAGAATCGAAGACGTCAGGACGTTTTGGGAATCAGGTGGACTTCTTCTTGCAGCTTGCGACACCGGCTGGAAGAGAATATCTATCGAGCAGTCTGCCTCATTTCAATGGCGAAACCTGCAGCGGATATCCGCTGGAGACTGATGCTCGTGTGTGCTGTATTTGCAGCAGGAAAGATCGGATTTCTCACTCCTGTCAATGGCCAAACGAGCAATCGATGTCCCCGCGCATTTTTCAACTTTGGAACGTCGCTCACCGATACAGGAAATATTCTCAATGAGTTTCCATTCTCTCCTGAGATCACCAAATTCGCTGATCCGGAGAATCCTCCGTATGGAGATGCCTTTTTCCGCCGACCAGCCAAACGCTACTGCAATGGTCGTCTCATCCCTGACTTTATTTGTAAGACTTCCAAACCGTCACTCCCCGAGATGTCTTTGCAATTGCCCAGAATCACATGTAGATCTTCAGTGAAGGATTCGCGTGAAGGATTTTCCTTGTTTAATTCGACCTCATATGTTCTTTCGGAACCGTCACTAGGCTAAGCATTTCAGAAACATTAGAGATTCAGGCGTGTTCTCTCCTCGCATGTCCTTTTTGTAAGACTCTAATGATTCACGAACCAATCTTGTAATTCTAATGTCATGTGACACAGCTCTGGCCTTTGACGTACCATTACTGGACGCGTATACCTCTCCAACAGTCTTCAATTTCAGGCATGGATTAAACTTTGCAGGCGATCTAGTAGGCGTCTCTAGCGATGGAAAATCCTTGCCTCTTTTCCTACCCCTGCAGATCAAGCAATTCATCAGATTCAAGAGCAGCGCACTCACAGCTCAATCGCAAGTGGGTAAGTTTAGGTTCTCTTCAATCAATCTCAAGGACTAGATCTTCAGTGCAAACAATCCACACTCGGTGCACTTGTACCACATTCTTGAGGTTTCTAATGAACTTGCTTTTGCTTTATGTGAGCTTCAAGTGCTTTTGTGACACTATTGGCAACTAGCTTTCATGGTCTTTCCCGTCCTTTTTGCTCTATATATCTTGGTTACATTATCAAGTGAGGCATCAATTCAATTCAATTCCAGTTGAGTTCTAATGTAAAATATACTCCAAGTAGGACAAGAGCCTTCATGCACTATGGTTCAGTTGTATAAAGCCTCGCAAAGTCTTTATGGTAGTAGAGCAGTGGACTCTGAGCTGATCTTTCAGGTCTGATACCTGTTGTTTCAGAATGTTTGTCTTCGATCTCCTCTCTACCACCGAGAATTCATTTTCAAGAGGGTCTGTATACTCTAGAATTTGGAAGTAGTGACATCAGATCTGCACTTCAACGAGGTCTCAGCACAGCATCGATTCTCCAAAATATCATACCAGCTGCAGTAAAGAGCGTTCTTGGGGCGGTGCAGGTGCGGTCACCCTCTCCCATGACTTGTGATAAGACATTGGTCATTCCCACAGCTATCAGAGCACTATGATAATTTGGAATTTTACATCATTGTTTTGATTATGGTGACTCCTGACGGATGACTCCTCGTCGTGCTGCCTGCAGATTCTCTACCAATATGAAGCGCGAAATTTCTTGATTTACAACATATTTCCACAAGGTTGTTCGCCGCAAATACTGACGTTATTAGACGAAGCGGACTTGACCAAAGATGATCTGGGTTGCATAGCCGAGATCAATCAACTGGATGAAGCCTACAACAGCCAACTCTTTCTGGGCTTGGAATTCCTGAGAGCGTCACTCCCCGACACGAACATCATCCTCTTTGACTTCTACAATGCTACGATCGAAATGTTGCGAAACCCTTCGGAATACGGTACTTGCTGCTCAACTCCTAATGCTCGTCATGTTTGTCATGAAATATCGATTGTGAAGTTTCAAACTCATTTGGACACGTCGATGTATAGAAAATCCCCGTTGCCCGTTCCTTCAGATATTGTGTTTTACATTCTCGATTTCACAACCTTCAATTTGGCTTCTGCGTTGTCGGCGATGGAATTTTCAGTCTCCCATAGAACCAATTTGGCTTTCAATCACATGACCCTATGACTCCGTAATGTCATGAATTGATGCGAACACTACACAAAATCGGGAACAGAATCTCACTTCTTGACACTGATTGTGATGAAGGTTTTGATCCAAACTCTACACTCTCGACGTGTTGTGGGGCTGCTGGAATAGGGGACTACAACTTCAATCCTAATGCTACTTGTGCCACTTCTGGCTCCAACAAATGTGCCGATCCTGACAAGTATATATTCTGGGACGGGATACATTTTACGGAAAGTTTCTATCGGATCATGTCTAAATTCATCCTGACCGGACAATTTCTTACTCCCGGGACTGATTTCAGCAACTTGTGTAGACTTAATTTCACAAACTTTGTAAGTTCGGTGACATACGAACAGGTGTATGGAGGATTGTGCAACGTCTGGTACGCTTGATATGGTCGGGAATCGGAGGTAATTGTACAGCTTTAGGCATACAGCGTGGCGACGGTTTATTCTTATTTTCCTGTGTACAGGGAGTTTTCAAATTGAAGTGATATGGAGGATTGTATTTATAGTGTACGTACATAATCCTCGTTCACTTTATACATAGAGATTTCGTTGCGAGTTAAAACAGGTTTTGCACAGGTTTAGGTATAGGGATTATTCAACAATCAGCTTTTCTGGTGATATAGGTGTGTCGGCGTTAGAAATTTTGTTCTCGCTATATTAATTGCTACAAAGTGTTTGCTGCGAAAATAATTTTTTCGCAACTCGTCGATGGAAACATGTATTTTTTTTCTCGCTTTCGGAATAGTTCAGAACAGTGTATTTCTGAAGTATTCTCAATCATTCAGGTATGGTCTCGATGTGTTTCTAACTAAATTAGACTTTGCATTCATCTTAGACTAACAGGTCAAGAGCATGAGATGGTGGTTCAGAATTCCGAGAGCTGTAAAATCTTCAATTTCTGAGTGTCTCACACCAATTGTATGTACAACTTCGAGCCGAAGCTTCTATCCGCGGGGCTACGCAAGTCTAAGTGTGGATCAACTGATTGTTGATCTAGCCATAACATGGCGTGCAGTCCTATTTTACAAAAGTTCATCAACCTCATTCGGTTCGATGCCACAGAAAACTCAGACACTAGTAAACTTCGTCACGGCCTTGGTGCCCTCCGAGACGGCATGCTTGGCCAGCTCGCCGGGCAGAGTGAGTCGCACGGCAGTTTGAATCTCGCGAGAAGCAATGGTCGGCTTCTTGTTGTAGCGAGCAAGACGAGCAGCCTCAGAAGCCAGCTTCTCGAAGATGTCGTTGATGAAAGAGTTCATAATCCCCATGGCTTTCGACGAGATTCCGAACTCGGGGTGGACCTGCTTGAGCACCTTGTAGATGTAAATCTTGTAAGTCTCGACCGACTTCTTCGATTTCTTCTTCTTGGCTCCATCCTTGGGCCCTAGCCCGCCCTCCTTCGCCGGCTTCTTCTCGGCCTTCGGTCGACCTCGTCCACGCTTCTCGCCCTTGGCGGCGACCTTCGCCTCCTTCTTCTCTGCATCGGCAGCTGCCTTCGGCGCCATCGCTGAAGCTCGAACTACGATCTCGAGTCTAACGAGTACCTCACTTCAGTCGGAGGTCGGAGTACAAGACTGAGGCACAGAGAGATCTATGAATATACGTCAGAGCGAGGGAGGAGGTGTGTGTTGCCATGCATTGACGATCACGGGGGTTTATATAATTCCGAGCATCTGTACGTGAGCCCCGGCCAATGAGAAGAGCGGAAGGCTGGTCTCGCGGATCGAAGGACGATCTCGTGATATCAGCCGTCGGTTTTAAATTCGGCAGCCCCGGGCTGTTCCCACCGATTTGAAAATGGCGGGACGGCAACCCCCGCCGAGAGCGCCGTTTCGAACGCTCCTGTCTGGCCACGTTGCCGCGGATCTGTTGTTGACTTGTCAACGAGCCACGAGCTCGCGGCGTAGTGTAATCAGCGGGGCCCCTGCTTAGACAAATATGTCGAAGAACTATGACATTACCTCGTTACCTCCTCTACATTCGTGAAGAGAACGACTGACTACAGCCGATGCAATGGAAATATATACTACAATACCTTTGTATTTACGCTACTGCAGTACAAAGGTATACATATAATGCAATTATCCGATCAGCATAAAGCTCATTTGATCAGCGCTGATAATCTAAAGATTATAGTGTACGCCATAAGTTAAAGAAAGTGACTTCACTGCAGACTCTTTCGGATTCACAAAGATTTTCAGATTACTATCAATCATTCTGATGGTAGAGTAACATTTACATTATATTCTTGCATGTTCATAACCTCCGCCACTTCAGCGTCAGTTTTCACCGACTAAAAGAAACAATCATCATGAAATCCCCAATATTCACATTGTTCTTCTAGACCAAGTACAAACTTGCTGAACAGCCAGTTAACTCTGTGCCAAACATATATATCATATGCTACGTAAAAGTACATATAAGTCATATATCGTATATCATCATCCTCGACATCCAAGATGGAAGAATGCACTGTACGAAAAGGACTTTTTCTCTACGTAACAGTCTTAACTTGGTTGCACTTACATTCAAAAACCACGATACGACTTTATATGAACTGACGTCCAATTCATCACATATATCTACTTAAGGACTATTATACTTAGTTTACAACATTGATAGCTCATAAAATAGCAAAGATTTGAAACTATCCGACCAACTTTTATGTATATATATCCAAAAGGTGATTTGAATAAGGTGTTTAAACATTATAATGACTAATATTGTATGAATTATTTATACAGATAAACCGACGTTGGTCAAATATTCTGAATATCACCATCGTATTTTAAAATCATCCTAAATTGAAAAATATCAATCATTTTATGAATAAAAAACGCCTATGTATTGCGTAATCTAATATATTATACTGAACAGTTGGCATTGTGGAGTCAATAGAAGAGAATATCATGCACACTCTCACATGAATGTCAAAGTAAGCATAGATAGCGGCTCCAAAATTTAGAAGTATAGAGTATTTATGTCTTTGCAGGCTTGTATTTGTTGAGAAGTTTATTGATGATACTTAACTTCATTCCTATCATCAATGCAAAATCCAAACAAATTGAGATTATGTGTGATTTATTATTAAAAAGCATCAAATTTTAGTTTTGCTATTTAAACCAAGTATATCTCTGAATAATGTAGACCAAATTTACCAATTCATATTTCAGATAAGATAATCATTTTCTTGTGTGATAACAATTAGCACATACCTGAAACATCATGGCTATCTTTCTTCTGACTCCCAAACGACAATGAATGATGTGGACATTATTATGTGTATGGTCTTGTGTCTATTGCAATACCTCACCAATGTATGTGCAATCAGGAATGCAAACTTTCGTTATTATTGGAAAGAAAACTCGTGAGTTCATGTATCATTCCCAAATAAATGATGTTATTTATTTAGGGAGTGTTGGTTATAACTCACACTAGTCTAATGTGTATTACTTCTACTCTTTCCCAATGCCAGCCAAAACTGTATCACGCAACTCTGATCCATCATAGAGCTTTGTTGTGTATAGTATAGTAGGGTGAGAGACATTAGCCCAAACTGAGAAATAACTAATATATCTCATTACTTATAGTTAAAGAAAAAGTGACCAAAGCCTAAAGAAGACATGTATAACAAAATGCATAATACCATGTATATATATATATATATATATATATAAATGAACATAGCAAAAGTCCTAAAGACAGCCTAAAGTGGAGAAGTTCAATCTCTCGCACGCAAGAAATATGCTACCCGAACAAGACAAGAATTTGTTTAACTGCTTTTTTTCACTAAACCATGAGATGAATGCACGTCCTCTAACCATCAGAGGCACTGGCATTAAAAAGTTAGCAAAGAACATGGGCAATAGACAGAAGAAAACTCCGCATATCAAAGAGCTAGACTTTCAACATACATTCATTACACGACTTTTGAGCTGCTTGGTCTTACTTGTCGAAGCTTCGATTTATTTCCTAAAGCTTGTAACAACTCTAATAAGCCGACTACTTACGGCAACTCTTAGCGTATAAAACTCGTGATATACCGTGATCGCGGGATTTTTGCCCCTCTATGTACCTACGGCTCTAATTAAAGTGTCTTCCTATGCACATTTGCAATATGTTACACCCTAAACATAACAAGTTTGATATTGACTTGTGTCTACACCTAACCTTGACCTCCGTTTTTTATCCAAGGATGAACGAACATCTGTATGCAGAGTTCCAACTATTTTGCTTTACTCGTATAAGTCTAAATATAATTCAGCACGTTTTGTATTCTCGGTGAACATTCTACTTCCAATATACCTTACCAATCAACAATAGTTGTCATGTGAAAACAAAGTTAAGTTTCCCTTAATGAATTCAAACAAACCTCACATTACTGAATCTGAACAAGCAAGATCATTTCATAATTAGTTTCCAAACAACAGAAACCTCAATTTGATTTTTTGAATATTTATATTAGTAGGTTGTAATAAAATACTGATTTGCAAAAAACCTACCAAATTGAAACACATGCTTGCAAGCTTGAATAAAGCAAGAACCAACTTTTACTTATATGACTTGAATAATTATAAAAGTATTGTAATAATAATGATGTTTTTTATTTTTGAATACTCAATTCTTACAAAACTCATGATCATACATCAAAGCTATACAATATTGCAAACAAACCATCATCTTATTTCCATATATGACTGGAAAATCGAAATTCAATTTCCACTGAAATCCGCATAAATCATGAAAAGCAATGTAACTTCTTTTTCATCTTTATTCTAAATTTGATAAAAGTAGAAGACAAAATAAAACTTTAACTTTTATCTTTTAACAAAATTTGATTGAAAAAAACAAAATGTGTATCAAAACACAACAAAATTTTATTCTTAAAATTTCAAGTAAGAGTTGATATTTTTTAGTGTGAATGAATTATTTAATCACACCTTTCCATTTTACGTGTTGAAAAAAAGGAAGATAAACAAAAACTCATTACATCTTATTTGATGAAGGTTTATTTGTCATTTGTGAAGTGATATTAATATATTTTTTGATTTGATTGTAACTATTTTGTCTAGATTTTTTCTTTAAATTTCATACTTTCAAACACTTTATGTTGTTCAGTTTCAGACCCGTTAATAAAAAAGAAACAAAATTACCTTCTCTTGGATCCAAGTTTTCAAAGTATAGTTGCTTGACAAAGCAACAAGATCTTGTTCAAAATCGAAGTAACATTTATTTTAAATCTTGACACTTCAATAATAAAGTTGACCCACAAAATTTACGTTTTGTGTTTTATTCAAAAAATCAGACATGATAAACAAAGAAAACAAATAATATCTCTGTTTAATAACCTGTTTGAAGCTCTCATCCTTCATGACTAATGAATTCATGTCGTTGTAGATCATAAAAACTAAAACATTGATCTTCATTTACAAAACATTTTATCTCTAACAACAGCTGAACTTCAGAACATTTTCTTTTCTTTTCTTTTCTTTCGTGGAGGTTCAAATTACAAGATGATGTATTCATTATTTTGTTTGATTGAATGCATAAAATTATGCATGAAGATGAATGTATTGGAAACAATTCATTATTTTTCTTGTAGTTTTGCATCAAAAATTGTTCAAATGTTGGAAAATTATTTTATCAGACTTAAGGTTTAATTCATAAAAGTAGTTTTATCCCAAACATATGTGAAATAATGTAATTCATTGCTCAATAGGAAAATGCAATAATTATTTTTGCAAATCCAAATCTTAGTTTCCATGTTTGTTCTTCATTATATTCTATAGCTTTTAGTATATATAATTCAAGATGCATCTATTTAACTAACAAAATGAAGAGTTCATTTTTATTAGTTAAATATTTTTACAATGTCACGTTTACAAAATTATGAATTGAATAAATTGATTAACCTTATTATGAAATTGATATTTAAATTATAAAATAAAATAAATTTTGTTTTTCCAACAAATATATTACAATACAAAAAATCTACAAATATTGGTATTATTTGTACCACTCGCTTCTAGCTCGTTCAATATGTAAAAAGATGATACTATGTGAAATTATTCAAAAAATAGTTGCATCTTGAATATTTCCGTTAAATACGGATAAGTTTTACAAAACAAAATATGGATTGTGAAATAAATTTTAAATTCCTATTATTTATTGAAACAAAGTTTTGAAAGTGATTTTAAAATTTTAAAATCTTGTTTGAAAATGGTTGGGCATTAATTTACTAATTAAAATTTTATTTAAAGAGTGAAGAAACTGTAATTTAGAGTTTGAAGTAGTCATTATAGATACAGCACTTTCAAATGTGGAAGCAATTTGTAAAAAGATTATGAGTAAGTCAATAAATATTCCATTTCATTCATTTTAGCAAAAGAATACGAAACAAGAAGCATTCACTTCCTAGTGTTAGATTTTCATTGAAGTATCAATCTCTTATAACCATTTCCAATCTTGCAAAGACATTTGCAAATTTAGAACAAATCTAAAAATACTCAAATTATATCATCAACTAGAATAGTATAGGATTCAATGGATGGAAAAGATTGTGTGATATCCGCATTGCATTTGTTAGTTAAAATATGTTGTATATTTGTGTATTTGAGAAAACGAATGTGCTTGATTTCATGTTATTGGCAATAAATTATAATTTATCATTGTAATAAAACATGTTCACATAACAAAATTAATCAGTATTGATTACAAATTTATATTTATGACAAATTATAAGATGAAATTTCGATAAATACTACATATATGTCTTATGTGAAATGTTGATAATTTTTTGCACAAAGAGTCAAATTCCGTTTTTAATATTTTCTCCCCATTGATGATCATTGTCTGAGTTATTTTGCAGATTTGACAATGGATATAATTTCATTTCCTAGTTGTCAATGGATAAAATGATTTACGTTTTATATTATATTAGATATAATTGTTTTAATAATCTGAATGCTAGAAATTGTTTCAGAACTTGATCAAATGTTTTGGATTATAAGATAGTTTGTTATTCATCATTATGTATGAGATTTGACAAAAGAGTACATTGTTATATAAAATGTGTGCTTTTGTGGATTTATTATATGACAAAAAAATCTATAACATATATTGTATGTTTGAACTTAGTCATGGACATTTTAATATGAGCATTTTTTGCACAAAATAAAATATTTCTGAAAAAAATGTGCGAATAAAAAGTACTAAATGTAGAATTGAGTTCAGATCAATGAGTATGAGTGAAAATATAAAGTATTAAATGTGGAATTGAGTTCAATTCAATGAGTGTGAGTGAAAATTTTTTTTATCAAACGCGTAAATTTTCTTAATAAAACAATCTTTAAATTGACTATATACCAAGGCAATATGAACTTGTAGTCTAATGAATGAGCTAGAAGCAAAATTGGTTGCATGTTGTTCATTATCTTTGAACCTATGGTATGATCCAAGTATCCGAAACGGTATATAACATGTGTACATGGACGGTCAAATTACAAGAAAATGCAAAGATTGATGCCTATTTTATCCATATTTGAGCCTATTGCTAAACATAAATTGATCACACAAATTTGTTTGAATGAGAATAATCATGTCCCATGGTCAACTCAGACCACAACATATATTTCCCTTGTCAATGATTTTCAGTCTCAAAACCACTACAAGGGGAAGAATAATCATGTAACAATTGTAGATTGGTAGAGGGAATTACTAGGTGAGAAAATGATAACAATAAACGTATACTCCATATGGTTAACCATTGAAGTACATGTGGGATTTAGTAGCTTGACTGCCCATTCAACTGTTAATATGACAGTGATCATCATAAAGTGTTGATCTTTTAGATAATAATGGTTTGATTAAAAGTAACATGTCCAGCCTCTCTTCACATATTGCTGAATATTCTATTGTAGATATTTAACATCTTGTTCATACAAACATTCAAACTCTTAGTAAGCAATACACTTTTTTTCATTTTTTTATAGATTCAATTTGATTGAATTATTTGATATTCTAACTTATAGAAATGCTGATTATCTAGATTTCAGATTGTATATTTTTTATATTAAATCTGTAAATCAATTGAAGGAAGACAATATTTTCAAATTCAAAATAATATAATGGACTATTTTTTCAATTTATGAAATATTTGTTTGTCAAAGTACACTAACCATTATGGGGGCTATAGTTATTTTTTGATCATAATTAAATTTTTTAATAACTAGAATTTACGCAATGTTTGTCATGCTCAAAAAATTAAAAAATTCAGTTTTAAAATATGATTTCAATATCAATATTTTAAATTTTCAATATCAGATCATCCACATATGTTACTGAAATCAAACAATTAGTTGGTTTTTTGGGTAAAATATGGTGTTTTCTAGTCTCATAAACCATTACTAGAATAAGTGGAGAATATAGATAATTATGGTTTAATTAATAACATTTTCCAGCCAGATATGTACATATATAATTAACAATAAAATCTAATGTCAATTTGTCCTTTGTCACAACATATATATGAATAATATGAGTGACTATTCGCCTATATATTACAGAAAGTCTTAGAGATTATCTGAAATACCAAAATGATAGTTTTGGCATGTGGTTTGATATGTGCTTAAATAAAACTTGGAAACAATTTATGTTTCACTTTTATTGTGTTATATATATTTTGTTATTATTGTTGTAAATTTGTGTTTGGTACATATATGTTTGTATTGACGTTAAACAGTTACATAGATATATGTATAGATACGGACAGAGGAATGCTAGCTATTTCCTTCGTTGCGTGAAAATACATTCCAGTCGGGTAGGCCGTCCGGAGCATTCATTTTGTCGTATTTGTCCCACTTGTTCAAACGTCGGTACAGCTCGTTTGAAATCGCGCGCAACGGTGAATTCAAATAGAAGGCGCACTTCAGTCTGGATTTCAAATTGTTTGACTGTGTTTGCCAGGTCATCAATCCGCATACACCGTGTTGTTCTACGGAGCGCAACATTCTACGCCTTGGATCGTCTCGCGCTGTCTGAAGCAGATCTAGCGGCCATAAAGCAGCAAGAGACTAACTCACTCGCCACCTCGACGGCCGAAGCACAGTGTCCGTAAAGAGACTCAGACTGTGGAATCGTAGAATAGTATATAAGGAGTTCATTGCGCAGGGTCCCTCAGTTGCAATTTCAGAGGCCTGTGAGATATCTGTGTTGTCCAATTCGATTGAGTTTCGTTCAGCTCAGAGTGTAGAGTCGGCAAGACGCAGCCATGTCTGGACGCGGTAAGGGAGGTAAAGGTTTGGGCAAAGGAGGCGCCAAGCGTCACAGGAAGGTGTTCAGAGATAACATCCAGGGAATCACCAAGCCCGCCATCAGGCGTCTGGCCAGACGTGGAGGAGTGAAGCGTATCAGTGGGCTGATTTACGAGGAGACTCGCGGAGTTCTGAAGATCTTTCTGGAGAATGTGATCCGAGATGCGGTGACGTACACGGAGCACGCGAGGCGCAAGACTGTGACTGCTATGGATGTGGTGTACGCGCTGAAAAGACAGGGAAGAACTCTGTACGGGTTTGGAGGATAGAACATCTATTTTTTCGCTTTTCGCGAGAGCAAATCCACTCGCTCATATCAGTGGGAAATTCTCCGACTTGATCTGGAGGCTGAGTACTGATCATAGTCCATGGACTCGACGACGTCCATCGACGCGGAAGGGTGTTAGCAGAAACACTGAGAACTCCGGACGATGTCAGCTCTTGAATTCATGTGCCCTTGATGAATTGTATAGAATACGCTGCGCTGCACATCTTACAGACGCCCTCTGCGGCGAGGAAGAATCTTTTTAGTTCACCTTAAGTTACCAAAGGATCATATAGTCACTGAAAAGTGCCCTTGGGTTGATAACCCCGTGTAAATTCTTACTTCGAACTTCATTTTTTCAATCCAACTTCAAAACAAGAAACGAAGCGCTCATTTTTTTGGGACTATCCATGACTCTTGAGGATGGAATGTGACTTACCGACTTAATTGCAAATTTCGGATGGAGCCAATGATGCTAGAACATGTTGATCAATGTATCAGCTTCCTGACTCCTGCCAGCATGATCTACTGTACAATTAGCTGACTGTGGCAGATGGTTTACTCTTTGCAGTTGATATTAACTGTCATGTCCAGTACCCCCATTGATAAGTATGATCTTAAATTACTAATGAAGAATGAAACCAAATAAGTTTCATTTTAATGCGCAGAAGACAACCATACGGAAATATTCGAATACGACTATAATCATCATCAAACAATTCTTTCACAAAAATATCAAACACAGCAAAAGCTACATACTCACGGTGAACCCACCAACTCGAGCAGAATCATCTTTATGTAAGAAAAATAAACAACAAACGTAACCACCATTAGTGAGAGTGAAAATGTGGCGAGAAAAGTTCAAAAAAACTGCCACTTACAATCAGCGATAATTTCGCCAATCCAATCCTTTTACTGAAAAGTTCGTCCGTGTAAAGCACTCTTCAGCATAATAAAAAGTAGTAAATACATATACAATTAATTCTAAATATTATCTTGCATGTGACGCTTGAGATATATACTTGTGTACATAACATTTCTTATAAACTGCAAAAAAGTATCTGCGAAACACTACAAACTTCAATGATTGATACCTCTACATCAACAATGCAATGTACATATTAGGTAATCATATATAGATTATTCTATATCATCATGTTGAAACTCCAACAAAAGAAATTATTAATCACAAGATTCAAAAAAAGCATTTACTCTCTATAAATACAAATGGCATATATCCTTTAATATTATATTCAAAAGCATTGATGGGGTTGAAAAAATTTCTTTTGCAATGGATATTTTTCACATCAAAAAATTAAATGAAAAACTAAATGACATGAAAGTTGCAATATTCGACATCAAAAAATAGACATAGATTTGTACTTATATTAGTATCTTCATGAATTTATTAGGTAAAATTTGAAAGCAAGTTTGAGTTATTGATAATTCCACAATTTGAGAATAATTTAATTTGGTCAAAAGAAGTGAATTATATATAGTACTCATCACTGAACCATGTGTGTTTTACTAAGTTTACTAGTATGGAAGTGTATGAAAACTATGTAAGAGCTCCAGTTTGAGTGGAATTTTTATTCCTCAAAAAATCTTCAATTTTCGTTGTTTATCATCGGCGAATATTCAGACTGCACTTCAGATTTATGGTGAGTGATCCTTATCTTACAATCCACACTCGAAATAACTTGCGTACCACACCAAATATCCACAAATTGAGCTGCACTTTCGAAGCCCTAGTCCGAACGCATCCACCACGCGCTGAGAGTTTAGACGGAAGAGCACGCGTGCGTACCGCACTTGGACGCTGACGAGGCATGCCATGTCATCGATCCTCGCGAGCTCTGGAGTTCATGCTCGAATTGGAGAAGACCGAGGGATTCGACGGCTTAGATCCAGTCGAATCGTCCGACGTATCCTCACGGGCATGACAATTGTATAAGGCCCAAGTAACACATCGGCTTGAAATTCCGCGGACGGCGCCACGGAGCTAATCACAATTAACACGTCATTGAGGAAGCTCGAGATTCGGTCGAGTATAGATGCTGTGCGCCGCTCGTCAGCGCTCACATTTGCGATTCGAATTCTGCTGCCACACTTGCGCTCGAAGCTCTCAACTGTCTCTGTTCGAAGTGCGCAGCCATGTCTGGACGCGGCAAGGGAGGTAAGGGTTTGGGCAAAGGAGGCGCCAAGCGTCATAGGAAGGTGTTCAGAGATAACATCCAGGGAATCACCAAGCCCGCCATCAGGCGTCTGGCCCGACGAGGAGGAGTGAAGCGTATCAGCGGGCTGATTTACGAGGAGACTCGCGGAGTTCTGAAGATCTTTCTGGAGAATGTGATCCGAGATGCGGTGACGTACACGGAGCACGCGAGGCGCAAGACTGTGACTGCTATGGACGTGGTGTACGCGCTGAAGAGGCAGGGAAGAACTCTGTACGGGTTCGGGGGGTAGAATGTGCTCTGCCGTGCCCATTGGTTTGATAGTCTTTGCTGTGACGGGTGCACAATTTTCCACGGTCTGGATTTTTTGAGTGCTATTTTTGTTTCTAGGCAGAGTGAGGTTCATTTTCTGCTCGTGGAAAGGTACATCCGTGCACTTTGTATCCCGTCTGCGAATAGTTCGATTCGACAATTCGTCGAGTTATATAAGCCAGGCCTTTCGGGCGTAGTCGGGAGATATCAATTGTAAATATAAACGTAGCTCGAGATTAATCCCGCCGAACATTTTTTTGGGGTTTGATCCCAGTATGTACATTACACTTCAGATTTAAGTTTTGAAAGTCTCGTTCCATTTGAACAGGACTTCAAGAAGCCTCTATTCAGTACTTTCCCGGTCTTCCTGTCATGGTGCATCACCTCAGTAGATTGAGAAACTTGATGTAGGTTGAATGATTACTGTTCGACAGAATCTACGATATCTTGTAAGTGGTACTCCACAAGATAAGAAAGCCTGTCAGTGTATTCGAACGTTATGAGGAGCTCTCACTTTCTCCCTTTCTCCCTCAGTTAACAAGGGAGGTCCTCATTAAGTTGGAACACATTGACAGGCTTTCTTATCGAATCATTCGAATTCAATGACATCATCTTCACTTTTTCCCTGCTTCTCTGCTGCGCTTAACAATTGCAGCAACTGGCGTATCCAAAGAGTGAATTAATCGACATTTGCTGCAACAGTTGAGTATAATCAACATATTTGGGACACTCGAAAATTCTGTTATATTGTCGCAGATTTAACTCAGGTCCTTCAGCCTAGCCGATTCAATCAGGAATTGACATCTAAAATCATTTGCTCCGCACATCTTGAAAATGGAAAAATGATATAGATGATAAAGCACTCAACAAATCAACATTGTATATACACAAATACCTTTGCGAGTAAGCAAACCTCGGCCACCGAAGGCCAACACTAAGTACTGTACGTAAGTTTCATCACGAGCAAACTCTGAATGTCAAGAATCTTGAAAACACTATTGCTCCGTAAATCATTTACACTCACCACTTCAATAGGAGAATTATTCATCAAAAAATGTAACTGATTACAATCAGCACACTACGAAAGTTTTTATTATAATTCTAAACTATCAATTACATGTGTACATGTTGAAAAAAGTATGTCACACAAACAGAAATAACACGAAATCAAATGTTGTTACATATATAATATACATAACATTCATTTACAATATGCAGTGCATGTCAGTGACAAAACTAGTAAATCCTTCTATTTTCATCGAACCTGGCATTCTATGGACTAGGTGCTTGCCTCGATACATTTTAAACTTACATCTTCACTACTCCCGCTCGGCCATAGATAGCCGCTACAACACCCTGTATGTTAGATGACCATGAAAAAGCAACTGTTATAGTCTCTTTATGAAACGTGCGGTGCCGTAAAGTCTGCTGCGGTGTTCCACGTAAGTGTGGCTATGTCCTCAGACCTTTTCATATCTTGTACTGCATAATCTTTTTCGGGGATAGTGTTTGGGACTATCTCTATAATACATAGTTTTCTCGTTATCAGAATTAGAGCAGAGACAAATGACAGAACAAGTCTTTTGAAACCGAAAGGTCTGATTTGTCTGGATTGACTCCACGATATTTCGAGATGGAAATCATTGCCAAGATTTTGTAAGAAATAAAGAGAATTACTTGCACTGAGATGAACTCGTTGTTTAAACAGGCCATTGTCTTCATGTTCGTGAGGAATTCAGCAAAACTAGTTTCATTGTTTGCAAAACTTCTCTCGAAGAAACCTTGCAACCATTGATCATCCACTGTGGCAAAAGCAGTGACGTTGCGGAGGTGACGCACACGTGCAGATGGTGGACTAACTGTAGCAATGGTGCTCCATATAAGAGGAGCCCGTCATCCATTTCTCTGCACTTATAGACCTTCTCCAGATCGATCCAATCCGCTCGAATGGTGGAAAGATGAGTCGCAGGTGTTATATAGAAACAGTTCAGCTCAGCATCTCGGCAGCCGAATGATAGAGAGCAGGTCATTCATGGTCTTGAATCTGGACGAGAGATCGCACGGGTTGTTGCAGGGGCAGAATGGAAGAAGGTGCTCCTGATGGTGGAGACGGAGATTCATATTCTTTGTCAAGTGCTCTCATTGTGGTAACATGCTTTCTGGGCGGGCTGGCGGTGGCCTTAGCTTGCACACGCAGAGGAAGAAGGTCCAGAAATTTGCCCCCGGGACCTCCAAGTTTGCCCCTGATTGGACACCTCCACCTTCTGAGCAGGTTGGCGCACCAGTCTCTGGCCGATCTGTCTCGAAAGTATGGACCTGTGATGATGTTGCAGCTGGGATCTCTCAACACTCTGGTCGTTTCGTCCCCCGACATGGCGAAGGACGTCCTCAAAACTCAAGATCACCTGTTCGCCTCCCGTCCCTCATCTCCCCTCGGAGATATCTTCATGCACAGCAGCAATGATCTGCTCATGGCTCCTCTCAACGATCACTGGCTATTCATGCGCAGGACTTGCGTCATGGAGCTCTTCACATCGAAACGGGTTGCACAATTTGAGGTCTGAAGCATTTTCATGACAGCACTCTGAATTCTCACCTCCTTCCTCGTCAAACCCTAATTCAAATCTCGTCCCGCAATCTCCTTGCCGACTGAATTCCCACTCTTGTCCTTCCTTCGCTATTCATCAGGTCCCTCCTGAGCCTCACCGCAGTGGACGAGATGTGGAGCATGGCAACGTAGCCATCGCGCTCTGCAGGATTCGGGCCTTTAAGTAAGAGAGAGTGCGAGAAAGAGAGTCTGTATCCATCACCTCGTGCCCCCAGGTCTAGTGTTCAGCGAACATTAATTCCTGGTTGCTTGGCTTCTATGTATGCAGTACACAGGAGTAATGGTGCATGTTGAGTGATCGTGATTGGCCGATTGGTGTGTTAGTGGTTAAGCGAGAGCAACCCTCGAGTCTGAATGGGCAGCAGAGGAGATTTGTAACGAGTGTCAGACTGCTGCTCTCATGGTGTATGGCAGGAGAGGAGGAGAATAGAAACTTGGCGGACCGTAGGGCGCATGTTGGATGAGGGCCGAGAAGGGAACGTCCTAGACATAGATCGCCGGATGAAAGAGCATGGGTTCAACATCATCACCCAGGAGCTCTTCAAAAAGAGCTTCCATGGCCAGAGGACACCCACCATCGCGGCGGACGGCGAGGCTCTGGAGTTTCACGATCTGATGAAGGAATTCACCAGCATCGGGTTCTTTGTGCCGGGAGAGTTTCTTCCCTGGCTGCGTAAACTCAGGATAGACGTCGGCGGCGTCGAGGCCAAACTGCAGAAATTGTCGGTCAAATTCGACAGCTTCTTGAGGAAAATCATCGAGGACCACCGACACAAGATGTTCATCCGGCAGAATACTGAGATCGAGGACTTCGTCGATGTGCTGCTGTCTCTGCAGAGCGACAACCGCGACGCCAAATGCTTGACCGACGACCAGATCATCGCTCTCCTCCAGGTACGCACCTCCACCTCTTGCCAAGTCAAAGTCAGCATGCTTCCGTAGGCAGTCTGCAAAGCACGTGGGTAATGGGCCCCTCGCCATTCCACCAGCATCTGTCCACGTGTCACGAGCCTATTGATATAGACCCCGTCATTAATCGTCTTGGCATCGCAGAACTTGCTCATAGCTGGCAGTGACACGGCTGCCAACACGCTGGTATGGATACTGTCGGAGCTGATGCGGAATCCAGAAGTTCGCGACAAGCTGCGGAGAGAGCTGGACGACGTCGTAGGCCAGGAGAGGCTGGTCCACGAGGCGGACCTCGTCAACCTCGAGTACCTTCAAGCCGTGGTCAAGGAGGCACTGCGACTGCATCCACCTGCGCCGTTGCTGGTGCCCCACTCGAACGTAAGCGCCACCACAGTGGCAGGCTACGACGTGCCTGTCGACACGCGAGTGTTCGTCAATGTCTACGCCATCCAGAGGGATCCCACAGTCTGGGAAAATGCTCTGAAATTCGATCCGCAAAGGTTCATCGATCGCTCGGTTGGTTATCAAGGCCAGGATTTCGTCTTCTTCCCTTTCGGCTCCGGTCGGAGAATCTGTGTCGGCATGAACATGGGCTTGCTGACGGTCGAATTCACTCTGGCTCTGCTCCTGCAAACTTGCGACTTTTCTCTACCCGAAGGAATGGCACCTCAGGACGTGGACGTGGACGAGAGTCACGGTGCAACTTTGTCCAGAATGCGGCCCCTGAAAGTTCTTGTGAGTCCACGTTCGGCCTCGAAGTTGATAAACACGAATTCTTAGGGTGTAGGGCTCTTCCGTCTCTGTATGCTGTAGATTTTTGAGGCGATTTTGAACTCTGCAGTTGTGGTGGATTTCGGTGAAGGAAAGGAAGGCGTCGCGATGGTTTGCTGCAGGATTAGATTAGGGCGGTCGGTCGGAGGTGGGGAGGACAGAGGAAGTGCAATTTGAATTTTACTCCGAGTAGTTGTTTGGTCAGATGCAACCGCTGCTCTCCAACTTTGTTATTAGATGCAGCGGGTTCCCGTAGAGTCGAAACATTCCAGCCTAGTCGTGCTGGATTCTGAGCATGAACCTTTTGACCAAGGCTCCTTCTGTCCTCAAAATCATCGAGAACAAAGCAAATCAGTGTTTCAAGAAATTTCGTAGTCGAGGAGGTGACATGCACTGGATCATAATTTGCAATGCATCTATCTGAGCTCGTGAACGGAAGGAGGAGAGCGATATTCAGATTGGAGTGCCAATGCACATGCGAATCGAAGAGCAAAAGGGAGAGTCATGGAGAAAAAACCGAAAACCGACGGAAGAATTGCCAATAATACCTGAACACTAAGAGTGAAGATGTTACTCTTTCCTATTTTACATACAAAACAGCTTTTCATATCATTCCTTACTTTGAGAAGCATATATACGAAAATTAGTTTAAAAAACTTATGCAATATTATCCGAAGCTTATCACATATTTGAATTAATCTTATGAGGTTTAGAATATAAAAATTAATCTTATGAACTTACCCTCAACCAATAATCTCATTTGCAATTACCCCCGAGTGTTCTCATTTTCAATACTTGCAAACCATAACTATATATATATATATATATATATGTATATATATATATCAGAGAATTGTTGGTTCGTTTCGTTACATGATACATATGTCCATTATCTCAAAAGATGATTAATTTTTGCCCAAAATCTTATGTTAGGAGATCAGTCACAATCTCTCATTGTTGATATAACCTCCAAAGCACAATAAAATATCATATGTGATAAAGAGTTCTTAGGGAATAAACTAAAAGATTTTATCTCATCACTCAAATACTAATAAATAAATTTACAAATTCAAAAAAGAAAATTCAATACATTTCATTGTATCTATAACTTTTATATTTTTGGGTAACAACAACTTATCAACTTCATAAAACATTTGTAGATAAGTTGTCTATGAAGAAAAGATATTTACGTAAGCCTCAATTCAGTAGCAAAGCAGTACACAATTCCCTACAACGTCAAGACTTGAGAATAAATATTGAAGTGCTCACATTGACATGATCTTCAACACGGGGACTCGGCGACGGGAAGTGTATTGGTTCAGCATTCTGCCGTAACATTTCTGTGCGCACACGAACTGTGCGTGGAATAGGCTATATAATAACATGGTGTATATCATATATACCTTGTTGGGGAACTACAGGGCTCAAGCAATTCCCAAATCTCATAATCTGATGCTTCCAGGTGATCTGTATTTTTGTGCAGAACTGGTGAGTCTAGGGACAACGATAAAATTAGCCGTCATGCGCATGGCTGTTCTATAAAATGGTAAATAGATAAAGCCCGTGGGAAAAAAGTCTGAAAAACAAATGGACGTCAACCATTCAGAGATAAACCCCTAGCTAGTGCCAAAAACACCCGAACGGTAATTTATGAAAAGCCACTAGCTTTAATAGAGAAATGGAATTATATAAAAAGTCCAATATCCCGATGTTGTAGAATGTGCCCGACCACCGTGATTGGCTTCAAGTCGATCTCCGGGTTGTAGTGAAACTCCCGACGTCAGAAACGAGCAATTTGTCTAGAGCCAAATGGAAGTGCCTACATGGCCCAGTGACAGAGAAGTGGCAATGCGTGGCTTCGAGAAATTGCGATGATCAGTACGAAAGGCATCGAATTAAGGTAAAGCAGCGTGCAGTCATTGAGTGTGGAACCCAGTGGCAATCCGTTTGCTCGCCAATGTCCCGAGTCACATGCAACGAAAGTCCGAGGAGTAGTAGGCAGGCAGGCTGGCCGGCTCGCTGACTGACCCATGTGCAGGAACAATGCGTCGTCTTGCTGGTTGACCTAATAATAGTGCACTTCGTAGTTTGATCTATTATGCAAGGAACGATGGAATCTAGGCCGGATCCGGTGAAACGAGAATGTCGCGGTCTCAGCAATAGTGCACGACGAAAATGATGTAGGGAAGACTTGCAGCTTGAAAAGAATTTCCGCAATTGGAAGAATTCGAGGACGATAGTGTAGAGAGGCTCTGTCAAGGCCGCCATGGAGTGCAGTGCAGTCGGGTACAGTCAGGTTGCAGGGTCGGATCCGGCCCATTCCCTGTCGAATGGGCCAAGTCGCGGGCCGGGAAGCACAGTAGCGGGTCGGTCACGAGTGGAGTTGATAGCCAACCAGTCAGTGGCTCGGGCAATTGGCATCTGCACGGGCACCGGTGGAGGCTTTGCGGAGGCAATGAAATTCTCTCTCGTGCAGTGCTGGGAGAGAAAAGAGCTGATTTTATTTATTGAGCGACGAGAGGTGAGAGATGAGAAGTAGGCCTCGGATGAGAGGGCTCAAGTCTTCGATTTTCTTTTGTTCGCACAGGGTCTAGGGAAGGTGTGAAACCGATCTGTGCACGAGACGACGTTTTCCTCGTCGTGGTCCCCACTGATGGACTCTGGCTCAAGATTGTAGAGATTCGGGAACGAGCCGTGCTTTTGTTCCCTTCCTCTTGGTCCGCATCCGGTCTGCATCTGGTGAGCTTTTGTCTTTTCTGTTCTTTTCCCTCGCGCATTGATTCTGTGGAAGTCCAACGTGGAGACAGACTTCTCAGCAGTCGTAAATGCGGGCTTCGAACATAAAAGCCGCATCTGATAGGTCTCCCCGTCTCATCTTTTAGCAAATGCTCTGCAGTCGTCGTTCTGAGACTAGCAGCTGAGCAGCTGGCTATTGGAGCTGACTGATTCTTCGATCGCTGTAGATAGTAAGCAGTGAGTATTTTATGTAGCCTTGAGTCCCTCGTGCTTGCAATGGTTCTCAATTTTAATGACGGTGAACGTAATTGCAAGAGAATGTGGTCGGAAATACACAAAACCTTTCGTTGTGTATACCTCTGAGTACGCCTGACGTGCTGATGGCCTGCAGGACGAAGGACGAGGATAATGCGCTACTGCTGCAATGCATCCTTTAATCATAAGATGTCAGTTTTAGCCTCTATTTGATTGCTGTTGTCTGTGGCACCATTGGAGACGAAGATTGGGATGATGTAGATTATTGGTGTCAGGGACTCTTAAAACCGCCTCTGTACCGTGTTAAAGAACAGAGTGCCGAGAGGTAAACCTCTGGGTAGATCAGGGCCCAATACGTGAATTGAATTGCCGTCTGGGAGGTCTGTTATGCAGATTGTTGATTGTGGAAGTGATCGAACAGGGTGGCAGAGGCACAGGATGAATAATTCGGAGCGAATGGATATGGAGTTGGATCAAACCTGGATGCAGACGGGGGAAGTGGTGGAGTCCAGAGCCCCAGGGAAGGTCATCATCTGCGGGGAGCATGCTGTAGTTCATGGAACTGGTGCTGTTGCGGCATCTCTCAATCGCTACACAGTTGTGCGAATGAATAGACCACCAGCTCATGTCGGTACGTCAAGCTCTCTTCTGCAAGCCTTGAGTGTCATTTAATATTTAGCTCTGACTTATGTCTCCGCCTCACTCTTCTCGAACTCGTCCTTGAACGACGGGCTTTCTAGTTGGCGACTCGGGTGTCAATTTCGAGCCTATAAGCCTTATTCTTGCTGACAACGCCAGAAATCTTCCTTCGGAAATCTGAGAGATGGGCCGTTTTCCTGTGAAAAAGCTCCGGCAACACTAGAGTACAGTGACCATCCAGCTAGTGTAGAAACATCTTACTGGCAACTCAAGTGCTTTTTCTACAATGTAAGTGGGTAATAAGTTTTTTTTGGTGATAGGAACTTCTATCGGAAAGAAATTATGAAAGAAGTCCCTGCAATGTAGCTAGGATTTTATTTTCTCTGAAAGTGTCAGTCTTTCAACCAATTTCAAGGATCAGTGCCGCATTACTTGTGTGCTTATGTCTGCTGCACAAACAGCTGTTGGAGCCTAGAAATCAATTCCATATTGGTTGAAGAAGTGTGGATGCAAATAATGGCCGTGTGGTTGTTCATGGCAAGCACTACCCCAAAAGCGGGCTGCTGGCTCTCAGTTTGAAAGAAATAAGGGTTCGTATTGAGAAATTCTTTTCCTTTCGGCACAACAATCTTCGTTGTTAATTATTTCTAACGTCAGGAATCGCTGAATGGACTGTTTGGATTGCCCGTAAACTGGTATTGGGTCCAATTGCGTGTGGCACATGACAGACTGGAGCGGTAAAGTCAATGTTGACACTTCGTCTAATTCGATTGGGTGAGTTGATTTGTATGTTGAGAAGCAAGGCAAGAAACATACCCAGATGCCAAGCCCACAGTTTTGGCGAACACTAGTCATCGTTCCGCGAAAGTATTGTAGGAGAAAATGTGGGACATTCAAGAAGTTGTCTACAGGCAAGATGGAAAGTGCAACAACAGTGGACAGGAAGAACAAGTCAAAAACACACATGCATTCCTTCCTGACTCGAACTGAGGGAGGAACGTGAGTGATTTGAACTTGATCTTCTCAAAGCTGAAAAACTTCCTGTGAAGCACATTCGCTGTTAGCGGTTATCAGCAAATGCACTTGACAGGAATCCTAAATTTGTCACCTATAGTAAAGTAACTCACCCATTTTACTCCTGTCACCTTACAGCGTCTCATATTATCCTACAGATTCTCTAAATTCGGTTGATCCTGGAAGTTTGTACGATCAACTGGGGTGGAGATAAAGGGAGATCAAATGTAATTCAATGACAGAGGGCACTGGAAGTAATTATTTATGCGGTGGAATTGTAGTTTGCACAAATCTACCGCCAAGAGGTTCATCGTGCTTGCTGCCACACAGAACAACGGATATAGGAAATAAGGCCTTGGCGAGCAGCTTTCCACAATGTTACCCTCAGCTACTCGTCTCTATGCTGGTTCTTGCAGGGGATAATGGCGTCTTGAGTATACATCTCCCGGAGCTGGAAGTACGTCTGAAGTGGACAGTCGCGTACCTCAAACAGTCTTTACCCTCACTCGACCAAGTTCAACCGAACCCTCTGACAAGTGTCGGTTCGGAGAATATTAAGATAGTGATTTCAGAATTTGTTGAAAAAGAGATGCCAAGAAATTCAGATAAAGGATCGATTGGAGGAGTCCAAGCATTCTTGTTTCTCTATGTTTCCATTTTAGGGTGAGTATTTTGTTAGATCTCATACTGATGATGCTTAAACTCAGAGAATATTTAACGAGAGCTACATAGTTTTGCATTGGCCACTCCAGAGACGGTCACTGTTTGCTACTGACAATGTTCAGTTTGAGAAACTTTTCGTGCAAACCTGTATCTTTCTCGTACTCCACTTAACTTCATCGTTGAATGTCAGTGCTCGACCACTGGTGGTCGGGCACTGGAAGTCTGGGATGAAGTAATATCAGAGCAAAGAAGTACAGAATCGGTGAGGGTCTTGTTAATCTGAAAGTGCTCAATTTTCATTTCTCTAACAGGGTAACACTTCAGGTTGCGGCCTCTGGAGGCGGTCGTCACGTCCGAACTACCTGTAGGAGCAGGCCTTGGCTCCTCTGCAGCGTTTTGTGTTTCAGTATCCGGTGCTTTGCTCACACTGGCGGGAAAGTTGGACTTCCATCCACAATCGTCTGATGGCATCAGATGGAAAGACATACTCGACACAGGACTAGATTTGGTCAACATGTGGGCGTTTGAGGGCGAGAAGATTATCCATGGCAAGCCTTCAGGGGTGGACAACACTGTTAGTTGCTACGGTGATTATCATTGTTCCTCTGACTTCCGGACTAATGATTGATTAAAGTTCACAGCTCCTACGATATCCTCACTCGTTAGGAGGAACCACTTAGAAGTTCATGCCAGCGAGGAGCTTCACTTCTGTTTAAGTTTCAAATAAGTATGGTAAGATTTGCAGATTCCCAGTTCATTGTTTACAATATCCGGTCGTTTGATTCAGCATGTGTAATTGTTTTGCAGGTCATGTTGTTCACTTCAAAAAGGGCCAGATCACGCGAATTGATGGCCAGGTGGAATTGCGGATGCTCTTGACTAACACGAAAGTGTCACGCAACACGAAAGCGTTAGTTGCGGGAGTCGGGGAACGTGCAGAGAGGCATCCGGAAGCAATGGCTGCAGTTTTCCAGGCCGTCGATTCTATTTCCGACGAAGTCGTTAAAGTTCTTCAGTCTCCCATCGAGGAAGCGACTGTCCCTACGCCGGAGACCATCAGCCAAGAGGATGAAGAACAAAAGGCAGAGGAGCGGAATTTCGCCCAGAGCTTGTTTATGTCCGAGGGAATGGTTATAAACACGAGTAAAACTGATGGGAACAAGTTAAGTGCTCCTCCAAGACCCAAAAGAGTTCACGTATTGACACGGCTGGAGGAGTTGATATGCATGAATCAGGGCCTTTTGCAATGTATGGGTGTGAGTCACCCGACCATAGAACACATATGTCAAATCACCTCGCGCTTCAACTTGTGTTCCAAGTTGACTGGAGCTGGTGGTGGTGGTTGTGTATTCACGCTACTACCTCATGGTACGTATATATTCCTCCTATGACCTTGAGCAAACTGTAGTATTAAGCTCTAGGCATTTGACTCAGATCCTGACAATAACATTCAGACTTACTGACCATCTGAAGGTCCCTTGTACTAAGGCTTGTTCTCAGCTTTGTCTATCACATGTTTACGAGCTACAGTTGGTCCAGTATCTGTGGCGGCGAGTAACTATTAGTACCAGTTGTCCAGTAGTAGGAAAAAGACCGAGATTGACAATAGATGTGAGTCTTGTTCTGTTCGCAAATTTCATTTATCATTGCAGTCAGATTTCGAGTTTTTTTGCCTATGTCTGGAGAATTGTTGGTTCTTTTTTGGCTGGTTGTTATTCCTATATTCCCTTATATATACAAAGAGTTCATAGTCTGTCTTCTTTCTCCCGATCCGAGTTATACCACTTGGCAGCTTTCTCTCGTGATGCATTCATTCCTGGATGTTCTTTTAAAAACTGCTTTTTCTTGCAGATCTCAAAGATATACAGAAGGTCAGACACCAGCTGCAGTTAGCTGGGTTTGAATGTTTTGAGGCAGCCATGGGTGGTAAAGGACTACAGATTGGATTTCGTTCTTCAATTTTGCCGTCTCCTTAGGAAGCGAGACCAGGCTATTGTATCTTAGTTTTCAAAATTAAATTCAGATCGAAGTTGTACTATACTCGATCTCTTTACCCATCATACTGAGGGTAAAGAGATTTGTGTTATGTGGAGCCGAGATCTTATCGTTACATTCATTCTCCACACGGGTATGGAATAGGTTTCGTGGCTTTAATGGCATGCTATCAACCCTGTAACTTCTGAACGAGCTGTTTGTATGCTTTGTGCAAAGAAAAGTAAAGGTTTTCATGATCAGTGCAAGTTCCATCGAGCTCACCGACATGCATTTTATAAGCCCTTGTAGTCACCTGGTTTTATTAAGCCAACCAATTATGCCACATGGGGTCGTACGAAGAGTTTCAACTTCTTACACAACGACTCGTCACTCATATGCACGTCAAAACTTAAAAACTTGTGGATTGAATCTTCAAACTTCATGTTCAAAATCCTTAACAATCTCTACTAAGTTTAATCCAAAACTGGTCGCACACGTAGAACGTAAGCGCATGACCTGGGAACATATGTGGATGCTGTGATCACTGCCCTAGTTTAGTAATTCAAAGAACGTCCCGCATGCGAGCCGTATTATCAGTAAATTGATAGCTGCGTCCACCTTGAGGCCGGTAAAGGTCTGGCGTGGTGAACTCAGTGACTAGGGTCAAAGATAATTCTGTTCACCACAATGGCCACCAAAGCCCTTTATGACTGGTAGTGAGCAGCCTCGCTCACTGAGTATGAAACAGATTTGTAGTTACAATTTCAGTTCCCAAGACAGTCCCTATGAATGACTTGAGTTGGCCCTACCTTCCAGTACCTTTGAAAGTCCAACAGGGGAAAAAAAAGTCATTGGACTTGCAGCAGAGGCACATACGTCGTTTAAGAGCATTGAACAGAACGAACCAACCTTTTATCTCTCAGAAACGAAATGCAGGGAAGACGTGGTCAAACCTAGTGGATAATGAAGCTTGGGAGTAGCCTTGCTGCCAGATACTTTGGAACACCGTCATACTTTTTGCATTCTAGAATGAATAATCAATATCCGCCCATACGACCGAGGAGTCTCATAAACATGCAAATCTGAACGCGTGTAAACAAACAGAAAGCAAAATCAAGGTCTTTTTTAAGCAACATCAAGTAAATGTCTTAGTAATGTGGGTAATTTCAAAGAAACAGTGCCAAAGGACAGATTGCAGATTCTGTCGAGGTCCTACTTCCACCCACGGACCCCACTTGTGTCAAGCCTTGTAGAAGAAACTCAGAAGAAGACAACAATTACAATTTACAGAGATTCGTTTGTTGCTCCCTCAATCTCCATGTAAGATATTTCCTATCCATGTGCAGAGAAGAGGTCAGTTGGCAGTCCGAGAGGCCGTGTTATACTTCTGGGAAAAGCGTCCTTCAATGATTCGTAGGAGTCAATGAATTTTCACTCTAAAGCTCACCAGTCTGCAGACGGGCTATGAGAGAAAGGAGGTCGAATCAGATGAGAACAAGCCCTCAATCAGGTGTGGTCAACTGGACCACTTCCCCAGTGAGAGAGAGAATGATATCCACCCCTCCTGACCCAGACCATGGAACAAACATGGCACAAATCAGCAAGGACTCGTGAAACCGCAGCGGTAGTCATGGAACGGAGAGGGTTGAGGATGAATTCCTACTTCCACAAGTAACAGGAGTGTGTAATTCGGTCACGGTCATGCCTCCTCATCAGCAGTCCACATGTGTCCTTTCGTATCATGCTCCGAGGCACATCTCAGCTCCAACTCCCTGAGAATCAACACTCGCTGTCCCTCAAATCGTACGATTTGCTTCTGGTCTGACTCGCCAAATTTCCTGTACCATATCGTAGGTACGAGACACCGACTACACGCCCCCATGTTGGACTGCAAGTTCCATTTTACAGTTCTGAAGAATCCGTTACGTCTGCACTGCGTGTGTCCATGAGTTGAGATTGATTCTCGGTTTTGTGTTCGGGTTCCTGGTACTCGATCTGATTATTCCTCCTGATTTTCTTGACCATCTGAAGCTTATTCTCTTTTTGTAATGTGAAACTATGACAAGGAATAGATAGTGAGTTTTGACTGATAAAATTCGTAAGAAGAGTAAACATAGTTCCAGGGCTAGGCTAGGTTCAATCTCTTGCCAAGTTCTGTCTTTTCAACTGTCGAGGACATATTCAGACCTGTCCCTTTTCTGCAACGATTTGTTCTGCCCCAATCTCTGACTCAGTGTGTGTGCACAACGAAGTCTTCAACTCAAAAGCTAGAAACCTGGAACAACCGTATCTTCGTTTTGCATGCTCGGTGCCACTATCACAAAATATCTTCTAGCAAAGACTCCGAATTCTAATGAGGATGAAATCCAGAAAAAGCTTTGCATCATTACTTGACGTCGTCAGAGGTTACTGGATCGGGCAAAGTGCAGTCAGCTAAAACGAAGATCTTACCCTTGTCGTCATTTAACCTCGAAAACCAGGACTTGGCTTCTGTCTGCACTTCACGAGCATCATCAGATGATGTGATAAGTGGACTCCACTTATCACTTCTGGCTTGACTTTGTACAGTACCATCTCTCTGATCAACCTCATCAAAGTAAAAGAGAAAAAATCAACGAATTCTCGTGTGAAGCACGGCAAAGATCCACACAATGGAGTGCGAGGAAGAGGAAGTCTTAGAGGCAAGCACCCACCAAACTCAACCATATCCTCCAGCAAATCAGCCTGCGTTGCATGTACCCCTGGTAGTGGCTGAAATCGCAACAAAGCTGACCCACAGGTTGCCTGCTTCAGATTTGACAAAGCACACACGCCTCGCTCCAAGTCTCGAGCTGGCAGCAAATAAACACCTTCCGATCAAAGCCAGGAACAAAAAACACTTTAGCATTCTTCTTCAATCACCTCCATTCAGAAGCTCAAATGTCTAGATACTCTAGTCAACAACAATTCCCAGAAGGAAATCTCTGACAAAGTAAAAGAAGCAAAAAAAGAACACGCCCAAAAAGTGTTCAGTAGCAAGGAACCTACAAAGTAAAGCAATGGAGGAGAAAGAGCAACTACCTGAGTACTTTGAAACTCACTGACATGGTCTTCTTTCCCCATAAGAAGACCATGTCACTGATTTTCAAAGTACTCAGGTAGGTGTCAATCAGGTGCTGATTATTGAACTAATTGAGAACTGGTTTAGCGAGTAGAGGTATGCTCAGCGTGCACAAGGACTGCAGTTTACGGTATACGGTACAGTACGCGGTAACTGAAGGAGCCGTTCTCGGACTGCAGCGGAGACCACGGTACAGGGAAACTGTAGCGTAGTAAAGGCGGTCTGACATGGATGAAAGTCGGGTCACGTGGCGGACCCAGGTTGGCCAGACGGCATGCATGGCTGGCTCTTGGATCTCCTGCTGGCATCCATGGATCCCGCAGACTTCTGACCGGGTCATGATCAGATACTGTGCCGTCCAGCACTGTACTGTACGTAGTACAGTGCACAGTTGATTACCGCGACACCCAGTATTAATGGGTTAACCATTAATTAAAATTTAAGTCCGACTTTCTTCGCTCTTTCCATCCACTTTCGCCCCGAAAAATCGCCACGTCTGGTTTCATCCCCAAGGAAGGTAAGAGAAAACCTCATTTTTTACAGTAAAATGCGTTTATGGTACGTAAGAAAATGACTGGCAAGATTCTATCAAAAATTACGGTAACCCAAGGTTTGGTTTACAACATGCAGTCTAATTATCTGAATTTATATACACGAAATAATAGAAATGAAAAAAAATGTATAACCAAAGGCTAGTATATCTTTGTATTGATATGTTCAGGGATCTAGCCTATGGTTTTCATTAACTTTCATGTTTTTTATTCTATTAGATACTGAACATAAACTATAACATGTCGATCTTGTGTTTATATATATATATATATATATATGCCAACATGGGGGCTAGAGTAATAACCTTACAATAATAAGTTCATAACAAGCATCAAGTTGAAGATGATGGGACCTCAAACAAGATTACGAAAATATGAAAAGAACTTTGTCCTATACACAGCCCAGAGATTCTCCAGGACACGAGATGGCTTCGTGTGTGCCTGTCTAACTGTCAAGCTCTGGAGAAAGCACACGTAGATTCAACAGCAGTGATGTCCCAGCCAGACATGTCTCATACGATGTTGGCTGCCCAAAGCCCCAAGCCCCTGATGATTGCACTCTAAACATAGAGGGCACAGCTTCTCGCTCGACGAGCACACTTCGTTCTGTTGGACAACGACACCCCGATCGCCCAACAGAACAGAACAGACGGAGACCAAGGTCAAAGACAAATCCACGAATGCAACGACGACAACGACGACTTGTGAGTGCCTCGGTAGGAGGAGGGCAATGGCCCAAAGAGCAGGTTCAAGCATTCGGGTACGGAAATCGGTTGCGCAACGAGCATTATTTGCTGCTGGCCTCGCATCAGCAGGCGATGTCAACTCGTCACCATGTCTCGTGCTCGAGCTAGAGCATTGGAATTTAGAGCGTCGTTTGCACATCGTGCCGCTCGTCGGATCTTCTCTTACGAGCGGAGAGATCTGTTTGGAGTGGAGGCCCAAGTTGTCGAGTTCTCGAAAGTCCATGATTCAGATCAACGTTCGTTACGCAAGTGCTGTGCCAGTTGCCTCCCATGAGTCCCACCCATTGCATCCCATCGCCGAGGCCACTTGTTCTCCGTCCGTTTGTTCTGGACACTCCACTTCACTCCACCTCCCCTCCACTCCATTCCACTCTTGTGCAGAAAACCGAGATGATTGCCGGAGGTGGTTGGAAGTCGGATCCATCTGTCTATCCATGTCTTTCCACTCTCTCTGAGACTGGATGAGCTCGGAGATTGATTTGCTTCATCACCACTGCACGGTACAGGTGACACGAACAGCAAAAGCTTATGTTGGGTGGTGGAAGCAAGCGTGGGTGAGAAATGTCATGAAGTCTTGTGGCCTGAGATTTCTGAATTCTCGGGCTAACTTTTACTCTCGTGGTTCCCAAAGTTTGAGCTCGGGTTTGACTTTCATTTGGCAGGTTTTCGTCCGAGCTTTGAAGGTCCTGTGGCGAGTATCTGTAGCCTGTCGAGCCAAGAGGAAAACACAAAGGCAACGGAATAGTTCCTTCCCTCACTGGAGTACATGATGTCGGCTTTACTGAAAATCTGATTACAAGGACAGTGCTGCTTTTCAGAGCACTGAACTCGTACATTTTAAAGTTAACTGATTCTCCAAAAGTCAATATCAAATCTCAAAGAGGAA